TGGGCCTCGGGTCGATGGTAGCTGAAACACTGAAGCTGAAACACTGAAGCTGAAACACTGGACGACACGCAGCCCAGCACTCTCTCAAGGTCCACACTGCTGGTGACGGCTGTCATAAGTTACTGCTGTAGCTGGACTCCTTTTCTACCGATTTGTTTTTGTTCTTTCATAAAAGCTTTGGTAGTTCTTTATGTTGCATTATAGTGTAGCTGGAGTTTGTAGTATTCCGTGTACAGTACGACCATAACAAACCAAAAAATACTGAGCCCCAAGAGAATCTCCAAGCATTTTATCCATTTCTTTTTTTGTAATTTTTAATTTCAGATGTTACTAAAACAATTTCATTTATAATTGTATACCTGTACATACTTTAGGAACTTACAGTACAACATGATACACATCTGTGATTCCGATTTGCTTTCACCCTAAGTAATGTGAAAACACAAACACCTAACATACTGCAATAACACGTCTTTGATTTGTCCCAACAAAAAGTATGTGTGTTTCCATCACTTCCCCAGCAGGTGGAGTTTGCTCAGTTGATCATGGACATGCTGTAGCTCATTTAGACGACTCTCATTCTATTTCTATGGTGTAGTTAAGTGTGGGATTTCGGTCTTGTGATAACAAGTAGTGAAGCTTTCTCTTGCCGTCCACTGATTCCTGGTCAGTGACTCTGACCCCTTCCTAATTTAAGCTGCTGGTTTCGGTCTGGTGCTTACAGACAGCCTGGCAGAGTTACATCTGGTTTCCTGGAAACGTAAAGGATAACTTTGGTATTTTTTTAACCTTGAACCCTCTTTTCCCCCTTTTTTCTGTCCAAGTGACTAATGGGAACATTCATTTTCGGAATGGGTGTAGTATTGAGAGATTGCTGCAGCAAGCAACCACGAAACAGGCTGTGATATAACCGCTCCATCAATTTACGTCCACTAAAAGTGCTTGTTTTTGCCACTGACAGGTCCAGATTGGTATTTTAAGTGTCTGACAACATCATGGAAAGCATCCCTCCAAAGGTCAACCTGTATGTTGAAAGTAAAATTCTTTTTAACCAGAAACAGCCCCGAAATCGCTGACATCAGACGCTCCGGACTACATTTAAATAAACAGTAATTTTATCTCTGTAAAACACACTTTGTTTGTTGACAGGTGACAGACACTAAATAAAACTCACAAAAGCTGTCCTGGTTAATCCTCCCACTATTCCAACAGTCGCCAGCTCTGGTTTGATTGAAATTCGCCCTTAAATAAATCAGTCAAAAGTGAAAACATGCTGCTCTGTACACGCTGAAATGACTTGTTTATTTAAATGAAGTCTAGTGAGTTTGGCGACGACAATTTCGGATCTATTCCTGGTTAAATACAGAGAATGTTAATATTTAACGAAAAAGTCTATCTCTAGGGACCCTTCTCCATAATGATGTCAGGCACTTAAAATAAACTGGGCCTGTCAGCAGCAAAAACAAGCACTTCAAGTGGACATAAACTGACGCTCAATATTAGAACAATTTCAAAAATTGTTGTTCTCATTCAACAATTAGACATAAAAATATGAGAAAATAGGGTCAAGGTTGAAAAATACCAAAGTTACCCTTCAAGTTATTCCCAGTTTATTAATTGAGTTTTTGTGTGGTTAAAGAAAAAAAAGATACAATGTGTTTACAGGTGCAAGCAGGCAGATACCTGTGTGATTTACCTGTGGACAGAGCCAGGCTAACTACTTCCCACTGTTTCCAGTCTTTATGCTAAGCTACGCTAACTGACTGCTGGAAGTAGCTTCAGATTCACTGTACAGTCGTGAGAGTGGTATCGATTTTCCCATCCAACTCTGCAAGAAACGATTCCCTTAAGGTGTTAAATAGTTTGAGGTGATCACCGACTCCTTGTGAAAATCACTTCCTGTATGTTCTTTAAATGCGTGGAATTTGTGCTGAGATATTTTTTTGCCAAACCACATAGATCTTGATTATTTTTGACTACTACCTTCCCTCGTTTCCCAAATATTTACTTCAACTGCAGGAGGTCTCATTGATGTGTAAGCGTGATGAATTTGATAACCATGCAGATGTAAAAAAAAAAAAAAAAGATATTTTTGTACTCACCTTGTACACTGGACTAACCCATAGCATATGTAGCGGTTTTATCATTTACTTGTATTAATTTATGTTACTGTTGGATCTGTATTTGTAGTCGATCACTGCCATTAAATACCACCGCGCTGCATCTGCTGATGTGGTGCCGGTAGTACCCATGTTTACTCAGCAGGGGGAGGTATTCAGCTTTGATATACCAAACATGCTGCTGCAGGTATCTCAGTTCATACAGTTCAAATGTTTATTCAGTATTTATGTTTTCAGTTTATTCTTATTTAATCGATTCAGTAGTTGTATTTGATGTGTGTTGTTATTTTGAGCCTGAACATGCTGATAGTTTATTTTTTAGTATGCTGAATGACATTTTGTTTTAATGCTCAGGCCTGCGGATGTTAGTGAGTGTCGTCTTGGTTGCTCAACATGTTTTAGAGAAGCTGTTTCACCAAACGGCTCATGTCGTTTTCTAAAGATTTTTAGCAACAGATTAGTGCCATTTACTGTGGGATTTATTTCACAGAGAAAGAAAAACAATCATCCTCGTCTTGCTCACAGTGTATATTTTTTACGGCCTGGTGTATTTTATTTCACACTCATTAAAAAGTTTCTTGTTTTCTTTATGTAGCTGAGGGTGTTTATGCCTCAACCAAAAATGCAAAGACATTCTATGCAATATACTGTCCTTCACACTTTGATCTAACCTACCCGTGCCCCAAATAAATCCTCATATATTGATCGTATTTGTGTGAGTTTGATCAGTTACACAGCCTGAACTCTAACCCATTATTAAGATACCACAATAGTGTTTTTACTGTTAAAAAAAATAACAGTATTTGCCCTTTTTAATTCCATATACAGTTTCACTCATTTGCACATCTCTGACCAAAAACCAAGAAATGTGCTGTGACAAATGAAAATAATTACAAGTTTGATTACAGGAATAAAATCAGTGAAAGAAATATAAATCGATATACAATAAACAAGAGTTTGTCAGAACAGTGACACAGGTAATGCACTCTGATCATTACACAGTATGCAGTAACATATTGACAGTGTGTTATGTGTTGTAGTCATATGACTGTGAGTTTCATACTGCACAGAATCTCTCCTTTAATATAACACTTACAGATGTGACGCCCGGTCGCCAGAGGAAATGTTGGCATTGTATGTTTCTGCAAACCACGAGTTTGTTTACATTTCAATAGCCTTGTGGTTTATTAATGTGTGGTCATGTTTGGGCTTAAAATGTCTGGTTTTGGTGTCACAATCACCTCTGGAAGTGTCGCAGTGTCTCTAAAAACAATCAGCTTTGTTGTTTGTCGGTCTCAAACAGTGGTCTGCAGCTTGGCAGCCATCTCACCTTGGTCAAATGCCATTGATATGTATGAATGGATTACTAAACAGGCCTACTGGACCCAGGCCCAGGGGTCCAAAGTGTCAGGGGGGCCCTGGCCTTCACTTGCAAAATGTTACTCAAATGTACACATACTGACCAAGAAGAGACTCAAAATGAGCACATAAAGACCAAAAGGAACTGCAAAGAGACAGAAAATTACTACAAAGAGACAAAAAACAACTACAAGGATACACAAAATGACTACAAAGCAAAAACAAAATGGCCCAAAAAATACACAAAATTGCCTCTAAGAGCCCAAACATCTACAAAAAGACAGAACAATCACAAGAGCCCCGTTTCCGCCCAGAACTACGGTACAGTTGATTTTGGTGCGCTTTTTTTCCGTTTCCACTGTGAAATGTTGTGGATGGTACCAATGGATCCCCATTTTTGGTCCCCCCTCTGTTGGGGTACCTAGCACACAGATCTGGTACTAAAAGGTGGAGCTGTGAACACTGCATGCATTGGTCAATAGTAAACGGTCACTCTGCTCAGGGCTGAGTTTTGGCTGGTTTTGTGACCACTGTTCATACCATGGCAAGTTTTACATTAGTAAACTATAACTATAAAAATAAAGGATGTTTTGCTCTCCTTACAGCCGCTGTAGTCTGAGAAAAAATAACTTAATTCACTGGGCCGACTGCTGGCGACTTTTAAGGTGGAACCTTTTCTTGTAATGTTACTCAATGCATGAGTTGACGACGGGAATCAATCAACACACCTTAAATTTCAATATGAAAACTTTGACCATTCCATTAGTTGACACAGACTTTTAGTAATGAGTGGATCTTCAAATGTTTTAAATATATATATTCATTTCAACCAAATTATGTGAACTACATATATTCTAATCCTCACTTGGAGAAAAAAAAGCATCGTGGAGCGTTGTTCCTGTGGGCTCCGGCCAGCTGAGCTTGCCTGAGAAGGACTAAATGCACAAACCTACTATTTTTAAATATCCCATGGAGAGAGAGACTCTCACTGCAGCCGGTTGTATTTTGTTCTGAATATGCTGACATTCAACCTCGTTCTGTGGACGATAAAGGAGGTGCAGACTTCCATCTATAAGGAAATACAGTGAGTGCTGGATGGAGCAGTGAGTGACAACAATCTCGCCCACATTTAAGAGTACTGTTAACGGTGGAAACGCTAGGGTCTAGGTCTGAAGGGTTACTTTTGGTTCCAAAGGTACCATACCGGGGCCCTGTGACCTTCACTTGCAAAATGTCACTCAAATTAACACATACTGACCAAGAAGAGACTCAAAATGAGCACAAAAACAGATGCAAAGAAACACAAAATAACTACAGAAATGGACGAAACAACCACAAAGAGACAAAAAATGACCAAAAAAGACACAAAATTACATCAAGACACCATATTACCTCAAAGAGCCCAAACAACTACAAAAAGACAAAACAACCAGAAGAAGACTCAGAATGACCACAAAGAGACACAAAAAGACACGTAACAACTTCAAAAAGACACAAAGTCTGTGTTTCCTGTTTAGGGTAGGTGGTGGGGCCCTTTGCATATCTGTGCCCAGTGGCCCATTGTCTCATAATCCACCCACATCAATATGATACACATAAAACATACAAATGTAATATATCTTGGTTTGCATGAACGTACACTGCCAACACTTTCTCCTGGCAGCTGGGCAGAGATGTAACATCAGGGCTGAGGGTAACATGGTAACAAGGAGAACTGAGGACTTGTGATTGCTCACTTTGTTTTGATTCGTGTTTCATGAGCATTTCCGTCACGCGTAACACCCTGTCCCTGAAACTGAAATGCAGAATCCATACACTTTCACTTCTGTTCATTTTGCAGGAAGTTGAATTAGTGTCAATTCATTTGCTCAACCGTTCAGTAACTAGTGACAAATCCTCTGCTCCTCTCTGCTCAGTGTCCAGCGAGTATTTTCTGTCAGTGGCGTTTATAAGGCTCATCTTTGAAATGTTCTTTATTGTCGCATCTCTGCAATCTTTTCAACATTTATCATCATCCAGCACCCAAAACAACATATCTGAAACCCCCCTCAGGCTCTCTCTGTGGTGTCCATTAAAAATAGTTTGACTTCCTCTTACCCACCTACAGGTCAAAGGTCACTGACCATCTGTTTCTGTAGTTTGGCTGTTTTCTTTGGTCACAGAGCAAAACGTTTCTCCGCTCGTCCCTTCATCGCTCACAGACTCCAGAGTGTGGATGAGGTTCTCCAGCCCCCACAGGTATCCGTCTTCTCGGTTGCCTTCCTGCCAGGGAATGTCATGTTTTAATGTCTGGCCCTCTGGTAGCGCTGTGGTCTTGCCAAAGTCAATGATCCAGACCTGTGCGTTGCTCGTGTGGTCGTGGATAAAGAGGAGAGAGCTGCCAATGACCTACGGAAACAAGAAGGGTTTCCAATGAGCGTTTGCTTTTCCTTCCTCTGCTTCATCCAATCACGCCTACATCCCTGCGACCTTATTTAAGGACATCACACTTTGGGTTTGCTGCAACTCGTGCTTTATTCTGCTTAACTCAGACCAGTTGTCCTTATTTGAGATAAAGCACAATAAACTGGTCAGTGTAAAAACAAGATGGCGGCCAAATCATTCAACAGCTGATCCTGACACAAAAGTGGACAAGGCACAAAACCTGATCGAATTATATCATTAAAACTTGTTCATTTATGCTTAATAATGTTTCTAGTTTGATATGGTAGACACATTTTAGCAACAGTAACTAAGCTGGCTAAGACTCTGATAATTAGAAAGTACTCGTTTGAGGACATTTAGACTTTAGTATTGTATTATCACAGTGTTTCACACAGGCCCATTAGGTGTTACAGACTATTCCTACAGACAAAAAGGACATTTCTTACAAGACATAAATCACAAGGCTTTTATATGTGTTGCACCGTTTGCACTTTTGTTTTTGCACAGCCATGTTCAGGCATCAAAATTAACAGTTGTACACTTTATAAGACACTGGTGACTAGACTGTTATAAATAAGTCCACTGTGCCCACATGAGGACATCTTCAGAATCTACTTCCTGTTTAAAGACGATGCTCAGTTTTTTTTATACTCATGTCCTACTGAAATAGACTCAGGTCTCAGGACACAGATGGGTGACAAAAGTTAGAATTTGTCAAACTGGTTAGTGAGCAAACAGAGTCGGAACAGCTCAAAGGATAAACAGTTTAAATAGCTACAAGTAATTTTTGGACGTCCTCCGAGCTGGACACACTGGCTCAGGGAGGTGATGCACCATCTCAAATTTGAGAAATTGAGTCACTTTAGGTGGCTCCTTTCATAATTTTAAGATAATCTGGAAACCATTTATGGATTCAATTAGAGCTACAATTTAACCTCCCATCTTTCTAAATGTAACTCACATTATAACAGATAACACAATGTCACATTTATCAGCCTGTCTTGTATCTTCTTCTGTCTTTGTAGCCCATCACTATGAGATAAGCCTGCCTGTTTTTGCGTGTATGTTTTTCTTTTTATCATTGTTGTGCTGCTGCACTGTATACAAAAGCAGTGTTCCCATTAATCCTTTAAAAGTCCTACGAAGGCATTGAATTATTTTATCTAAAAATAAGGCCTTAATCAGTTTTAAAACGTCTTAAATCAATCTTAAAAATTATATGACACTGAAAGTACAATTTTATTTATTGCTTTTACTGATGTTGCCAGGTAAAATCTAAAAAAATTTTTTGTTAAAATCTATTTTTCGTTAAGTTATTTACAGAATGCCTCTCACTCTTAGTTCTTAGTAAATTCAAGAATATCTTTTAGAAAAACAGTGTTCAACCCCTCAGGTAGACTTTCAGATGAAGTTCCTGCTTTTGCGACACTATTTTACAGCGCTGTATGTTTGTTTTTCTTGTAACGTGTTACGATCACTCGTCACCTCGTGCTGCTTGAAGAACTCCGACATCTTCAGGGCCTGCCGGATCTCCGTCAGTCTCCTCAGGTAGGACTTCTGCGTTTCAAGAAAAAAACAGTAACAGATGTATCATAAAATCCAAACACTACCTGAAGCCCAATGATTTAACATCAGATATATTTTAATCTGAATCTATAAATTAGCAGCTACGGTAAAAACATTAAAGGGTGTTGACACAGCGTCTGTTTGGGAACCTCCCACTGTAATAAAAAAGTCAAACAGCATTATTTGCGGTGAATATTTGCTCTGTGCAGATCAAACACTTCAAAGTTGTTTTATTTCATCAGACTGTCCCCAGCCTGTTTTAAATGTAAAGACTGAACATACAAAATCATTTATATGTGTCCAAACACTGGACAAGGATGTGAGAGCTTACTCAGCCGCCGGCTTTGTAGCTGACGACGTCTTTTAGGTCATGCCTACAACACCGCCTTGTGTACAGTACATGCACGGTAAAGTATGTTTTGTGCTTGTCCTTACATGCATGAACACACAACGTATACTGTTTGTGTGCAGAGGTGAAGTGATTGTCACGTACTATGATGCTGACGTTCCCTTCGACAAAGTCCTTGAACACCTGGATGACATCCTGCTTCGACCTGGTTTTCTTGAAGTCAGTCCGACACGTACCGTCACATTTCTGAAAGAGAGGAAATATTACACGATAACATGACTATTGACCTGTGATTGGACAGAATTTATGTGCATTCTTTTGCAATAATCTAATTTAATTCAGTTATTTTTGGACAATCGGAGGCAGCAGAAGCAAAACATCACCTGATAAAGATGACATAGGGAATGTGTTAGCAAACACTTGTCTATTTACACGTCCAGCAGACACGAAGTAGCATAAGCACTTCTTTGGAGTCGTGTTTGTGGCTCCTTAGGGCCTCGGACCATCATGTACAACCAATGCAGGTGTTCTATCAAAGGACTGTTACCTGGTCAAACAGTACTTCCCTCCTGTTATTGCGTAGCACCCCTCTCAGTAGTTAGGGGAAGGGTTTGGTTCAGCTTTCAATTCAAATGTGGCCCGCAGACTAATTTTAATTGGCCCTATAAATATACCATATGTGGTCCTTTACACAATAATGATTAATCGAGCAAGATTACTTGGCATTTTTACCCTTCACCTCACAATGATAGGACTATCATACACTACATTGTAGAGACAGGCATCAAGTAGTAATAGTTCATTAAAACTTTAAAAAAAAAAAAAAAAAAAAACTTCTGATGCGAGAATCAGTTGGCCCCCAGGTGTTTTCACGTTGTTTTACCTGCCCCCCATTCAAAAAAGTCTGGACACCCCTGGTCTGTCTGAGCTGTCTAAAGTCAGTACTTTTTAAGTCTTGACGCTCTGACAAAATCAAACGTTTAATTTTGTCATAAGTTTTTAGTCTTGTCTCATGCAAATGGCCAAGAAAATATACACTCTCTACAGCGCCAAACAGGAAGTAGAAAACTGGGTAGACCGTAAACATGGAGGGGACTCCGGGGAGGCAAGAACATGAACAAGTCTCGGTTCTCTTGGACTGTGGAAAAGGAGGAGAAACTCGTGGAGTGAACAAGAGTTGGTGTTTAATTCAGCGTATATCTGATCCACCAACCAGCACTTATTTTAGTGAGAAATCTTAATTTTTGAATGGTTCCCCTCTCATTCCCTCAGCCTTATAACGCAACTAACCAACAGAGGCTGGTAGTGAGTTGAGGCAACAAAATCAAAACTGTATGTATGTCTGTGGGGTTGAACACCTTACTCAGTCCACCTGGCACATGGAAGGTTGTTAATGTCGTCCAGGAAGGGCTGCCCCGCCTTGGAGTATTTTTAATAGAGCCTTGACGGTGATATCTCAGCTCTTCTAGCTTTAGGTGTGCCATCACCTCTATGACTCAACGGGCATGTGAAGGTGGAGCCCTGTCCTTCCATGGTCGGCCAGAAGGGACACAAAAGCCATGGAGTTTGATTTGCTGCTTGAAATGGACTTCTGGAGCCACTCCAAACACAGCAGCTACAGGTTTCGGTGGTATATTATGACCGTACATCGTACAGTGTTTCAAATATAGATGACCAAAATGGGGCAACTGAACGACAGCAGAAAAACATGTGGTTTAGGGTAATGAGGGCATACCACACCTTTTATCTCATGTTTCTACAGCTGTGTGTTTTTGCAGACACGAAAGGAACTGTTAATATGCCTTATTCTCCACTGAGAGCAGGATGGGAATGTTTTGAAAAGTATCTAGTTGTAGTTTTCAGATAGTAACCCTGCAGAATCCCTAGTCTTTGCCAAATCTTATAGTGTGAAACCAAAAAAGTCACATCTTCATCATCACTTTTAAAAGTATTTTTAAAGTCCCCTAGATTATGATAGGCATTAGTGACAAATACTGTTCTAGACATAAAGCCAACACCTCCTCAGGTGAGGCCAATCAGGAACCAGGAGCTGTCAAGCAATCAGTCCCACAGGCTGTATGCATTTAGCCAATCAGAGGGCACATCACATGGTGGGATTTATTATGAGCAAAAGAACAGCGTGTAGGACTTCTTTCTTTTCTTGCCTATAGATTATATAAAAACTATTTTGGGGTATGAATTAATTGTGGATTTAGCAGCCTAATTTAGGAACAAGGCAGTCAACTATCAAATCTTGCACATAACTGCAACCACACAAAGAATTCTGGGAGTAAACATTAGCAAATAGTAACATATAGCTGGTGATCATGGACGTAAAAGAATGACTTAGTGTAAAAAGAAATTAAACTGGCAAAAATAAAGATATGTCCAGCTTGGATTCAAGAGAAAACAAGTTGTAGGAGGATGAGGGGACAAAATCACAAAAGAGAGCTAAGCTAGTATGAGGCCTGAGGCTGGAGGTGATCCGGAGTGACTGTCAGTGGACCACGACTTCAGCCTCCAGACCACAGTCGGTTCATGCGCAGCATCTGGCCTTCGAGAGAGACCTCACACAAATGCCTGGCTGGATGAAAGCAGCGGGTCCTCCAGAGATACCTCACTGAAATTGCCTGCAGCTCCTCTCACAGTGAGTCCAGTGGTGTAGCTGCCACAGTTTCTTACATAGATTTTTGTAAACGTCTTATGTGCAAACTTATTAGAGTTGGCAGTGGTGGTTAAACTAAGGTGGGAGTTATGTTGTGGCATATCAGTGGAATTAATCAGTGTTTGCTTCAAAAACACTCTTGCTTTTGTTCGTGGAAAACATTTGTGCTGTGATGTGAGGTTTCTGTCTGTCAAGGTTGGAGTGTGATCTATATCAAAGCATGGGTTGTTAAGCATCATGGTGATACCTTGGTATCTCGTCATATAGTTGAAATGGCATTTTTACATTTCCAACTGGTGTTGTCACGATACCAAAATCTTTGTTTCGGTACCAGTACCAATATGAATTTCGATACTTTTTGATACTCTTCATTACTTTTCCTAAGGAAAAGTCCTTTTGGATACAAACCTTTAGAACAATAAATAGTAAGGGTGTAACGGTACCAAAAAAATCATGGTTCGGTAAGTACCTCGGTACGGACGTCACGGTTTGGTTGCTCAAATGTTTCACTAAGTTGATGTTGTCTCGTGTTGTCTCCCTTTGCGAGGCAGACTTTCTCTTGGGCCAGCTGCGAATGTTGATACAGGTGTTGTCATACACACCACTTGCGCAATCTGTGCTCCAATAGGAACAAGAAAGGCGTTTGAGTGCATAAATGAGTAAAATAAATTAACTAAATTAATGAATTGAATCAATTTCAAAGTACCGGTATTTTCCAAATGCAGTATAGTACCATTTGGAATACTCTAGTACCGCGGTACTATTTTAGTACCGGTATACCGTGCAACACTATTTCCAACCATGTTTTATGGTCAGACTTTGCTCTGTCTACCTTGATCCCTTCTATCCTGAAGCCCAGGGTGTGGGTGGAGCTCATGGTCTCCCTCCACTGCATGTAGCGAGGCTTGGTGACCCCTCGTTGGGAATGCTCCTGGGGAGTCGGCCCTTCGCTGTCCACCTCCACCATTTTCTTGTACAGGTCTTCCCTCGGCTTCGGCCTCTCCCGCGCCCGAACAAGCTCCTCCTCCAGGTATGTCCTGAAACAGCAGGAGGAATGAGGCCTTCAGGTGCTGCATGTTTACAGACTCCTTGCAATTTTAAACATGATCTCAGCATGTAGGTAAATAGCAATGGTTGTTTACTTTCAGGGTTTGTTCTGCATTCACACCCTTAGTTATTAAGATGCAAGATACATTATTTACTTAGAAGGGAAGTTTCATAACAGAGGCCTCTTCTCAGAGCTCCTCGTTAACAGTGTTCACTCGTGCAGAACAGGTGACCAGTCATTTCTGTACCGCTCAGCTGTAGGAGTATTAAAAGTCTGCTGGTGAACAGCACAGCAGCACACTCACAAGTGTGGTGTTCGTAGGAGACAGTTACGTGGAAACAGATGTGAATTTCAGTTTCAGTTTGTGAGCCACACTTCCTCTGTGCAGAAGAGGGAAGCTGAGAGGAGACTCCAGCGCTCAACTATGTGAAAGTCTGAGTGTGTGTTAGTGTTAGTGCAAGTTAGTGGTTTTGCAACTTTGTGGTTGTGAGTGTTTTTGACAAAGGGGAGTCTCCAGGGACACCCTGAGTGTGTGTGTGTGTGTGTGTGTGTGTGTGTGTGTAGCCTGACAAATTAAGACACGCACAGACACTTAGTAAGCAATAAATGTTTTGTTCAAGTGTGTGTGTGTGTGTGTGTGCACATTTGTATGTTGGCCCGGAAACAAAGTTCTCAGAGACCTGCACCAACATTTGTATGTATACATTCAAGTGCGCATTCATGCATATACTGTATGAATGTGTGTGTGTGTGTGTGTGTGTGCACATGATGCAGTGAGGCACCCCGCCCGCTGTGGCAGGAAGCCAAGCATATAGCCTGCAGTTATAACAGGTGTTCCCTTGTAGAGCAAAAAACCCTTTAGGCGGCATGTACTGTCTCCAGGCTGCACACGTCTCATTAATCCTCTTCAACAGAACAGGAGCGTTAAATACATGGATAAACAAGGAAATGATCTGACAGCATTTCAAATAAGTGTAGCAGAAATAAGAGGTGGTCCTGATGGCTAAACTCTGAGTCCTGAGTCCTAAACTATGAGCCTTGAGTTCTTAACTATGAGTCCTGAGTCCTAAACTTTGAGTTCTGAGTCCTAAACTTTGAGTCCCGAGTCCTACACTTTGAGTCCCGAGTCCTAAACTTTGAGTTCTGAGTCCTAAACTTTGAGTCCCGAGTCCTACAAGTCCCGAGTCCTAAACTTTGAGTTCTGAGTCCTAAACTATGAGTCTTGAGTTCTAAACTATGAGTCCTGAGTCCTAAAATTTGAGTTCTGAGTCCTAAACTTTGAGTCCCGAGTCCTAAACTATGAGTCCTGAGTCCTAAACTATGAGTCCTGAGTCTAAACTTTGAGTCCCGAGTCCTACAAGTCCCGAGTCCTAAACTTTGAGTTCTGAGTCCTAAACTTTGAGTTCTGAGTCCTAAACTTTGAGTCCCGAGTCCTACAAGTCCCGAGTCCTAAACTTTGAGTTCTGAGTCCTAAACTATGAGTCTTGAGTTCTAAACTATGAGTCCTGAGTCCTAAAATTTGAGTTCTGAGTCCTAAACTTTGAGTCCCGAGTCCTAAACTATGAGTCCTGAGTCCTAAACTATGAGTCCCGAGTCCTAAACTATGAGTCCTGAGTCCTAAACTATGAGTCCTGAGTCTAAACTTTGAGTCCCGAGTCCTACAAGTCCCGAGTCCTAAACTTTGAGTTCTGAGTCCTAAACTTTGAGTTCTGAGTCCTAAACTTTGAGTCCCGAGTCCTACAAGTCCCGAGTCCTAAACTTTGAGTTCTGAGTCCTAAACTATGAGTCTTGAGTTCTAAACTATGAGTCCTGAGTCCTAAAATTTGAGTTCTGAGTCCTAAACTTTGAGTCCCGAGTCCTAAACTATGAGTCCTGAGTCCTAAACTATGAGTCCCGAGTCCTAAACTATGAGTCCTGAGTCCTAAACTATGAGTCCTGAGTCTAAACTTTGAGTCCCGAGTCCTACAAGTCCCGAGTCCTAAACTTTGAGTTCTGAGTCCTAAACTTTGAGTTCTGAGTCCTAAACTTTGAGTCCCGAGTCCTACAAGTCCCGAGTCCTAAACTTTGAGTTCTGAGTCCTAAACTATGAGTCTTGAGTTCTAAACTATGAGTCCTGAGTCCTAAAATTTGAGTTCTGAGTCCTAAACTTTGAGTCCCGAGTCCTAAACTTTGAGTCCTGAGTCCTAAACTATGAGTCCCGAGTCCTAAACTATGAGTCCTGAGTCCTAAACTATGAGTCCTGAGTCTAAACTTTGAGTCCCGAGTCCTACAAGTCCCGAGTCCTACACTTTGAGTTCTGAGTCCTAAACTTTGAGTTCTGAGTCCTAAACTTTGAGTCCCGAGTCCTACAAGTCCCGAGTCCTAAACTTTGAGTTCTGAGTCCTAAACTATGAGTCTTGAGTTCTAAACTATGAGTCCTGAGTCCTAAAATTTGAGTTCTGAGTCCTAAACTTTGAGTCCTGAGTCCTAAACTATGAGTCCCGAGTCCTAAACTATGAGTCCTGAGTCCTAAACTATGAGTCCTGAGTCTAAACTTTGAGTCCCGAGTCCTACAAGTCCCGAGTCCTAAACTTTGAGTTCTGAGTCCTAAACTTTGAGTTCTGAGTCCTAAACTTTGAGTCCCGAGTCCTACAAGTCCCGAGTCCTAAACTTTGAGTTCTGAGTCCTAAACTATGAGTCTTGAGTTCTAAACTATGAGTCCTGAGTCCTAAAATTTGAGTTCTGAGTCCTAAACTTTGAGTCCCGAGTCCTAAACTTTGAGTCCTGAGTCCTAAACTATGAGTCCCGAGTCCTAAACTATGAGTCCTGAGTCCTAAACTATGAGTCCTGAGTCTAAACTTTGAGTCCCGAGTCCTACAAGTCCCGAGTCCTAAACTTTGAGTTCTGAGTCCTAAACTTTGAGTTCTGAGTCCTAAACTTTGAGTCCCGAGTCCTACAAGTCCCGAGTCCTAAACTTTGAGTTCTGAGTCCTAAACTATGAGTCTTGAGTTCTAAACTATGAGTCCTGAGTCCTAAAATTTGAGTTCTGAGTCCTAAACTTTGAGTCCCGAGTCCTAAACTATGAGTCCTGAGTCCTAAACTATGAGTCCCGAGTCCTAAACTATGAGTCCTGAGTCCTAAACTATGAGTCCTGAGTCTAAACTTTGAGTCCCGAGTCCTACAAGTCCCGAGTCCTAAACTTTGAGTTCTGAGTCCTAAACTTTGAGTTCTGAGTCCTAAACTTTGAGTCCCGAGTCCTACAAGTCCCGAGTCCTAAACTTTGAGTTCTGAGTCCTAAACTATGAGTCTTGAGTTCTAAACTATGAGTCCTGAGTCCTAAAATTTGAGTTCTGAGTCCTAAACTTTGAGTCCCGAGTCCTAAACTTTGAGTCCTGAGTCCTAAACTATGAGTCCCGAGTCCTAAACTATGAGTCCTGAGTCCTAAACTATGAGTCCTGAGTCTAAACTTTGAGTCCCGAGTCCTACAAGTCCCGAGTCCTAAACTTTGAGTTCTGAGTCCTAAACTTTGAGTTCTGAGTCCTAAACTTTGAGTCCCGAGTCCTACAAGTCCCGAGTCCTAAACTTTGAGTTCTGAGTCCTAAACTATGAGTCTTGAGTTCTAAACTATGAGTCCTGAGTCCTAAAATTTGAGTTCTGAGTCCTAAACTTTGAGTCCCGAGTCCTAAACTATGAGTCCTGAGTCCTAAACTATGAGTCCCGAGTCCTAAACTATGAGTCCTGAGTCCTAAACTATGAGTCCTGAGTCTAAACTTTGAGTCCCGAGTCCTACAAGTCCCGAGTCCTAAACTTTGAGTTCTGAGTCCTAAACTTTGAGTTCTGAGTCCTAAACTTTGAGTCCCGAGTCCTACAAGTCCCGAGTCCTAAACTTTGAGTTCTGAGTCCTAAACTATGAGTCTTGAGTTCTAAACTATGAGTCCTGAGTCCTAAAATTTGAGTTCTGAGTCCTAAACTTTGAGTCCCGAGTCCTAAACTATGAGTCCTGAGTCCTAAACTATGAGTCCCGAGTCCTAAACTATGAGTCCTGAGTCCTAAACTATGAGTCCTGAGTCTAAACTTTGAGTCCCGAGTCCTAAACTATGAGTCTTGAGTTCTAAACTATGAGTCCTGAGTCCTAAACTTTGAGTTCTGAGTCCTAAACTTTGAGTCCCGAGTCCTACACTTTGAGTCCCGAGTCCTAAACTATGAGTCTTGAGTTCTAAACTATGAGTCATGAGTCCTAAAATTTGAGTTCTGAGTCCTAAACTTTGAGTCCCGAGTCCTAAACTATGAGTCCCGAGTCTAAACTTTGAGTCCCGAGTCCTAAACTATGAGTCTTGAGTTCTAAACTATGAGTCCTGAGTCCTAAACTTTGAGTTCTGAGTCCTAAACTTTGAGTCCCGAGTCCTACACTTTGAGTCCCGAGTCCTAAACTATGAGTCTTGAGTTCTAAACTATGAGTCATGAGTCCTAAAATTTGAGTTCTGAGTCCTAAACTTTGAGTCCCGAGTCCTAAACTATGAGTCCCGAGTCTAAACTTTGAGTCCCGAGTCCTAAACTATGAGTCTTGAGTTCTAAACTATGAGTCCTGAGTCCTAAACTTTGAGTCCTGAGTCCTAAACTTTGAGTCCCGAGTCCTAAACTATGAGTCCTGAGTCCTAAACTTTGAGTCCTGAGTCCTAAACTTTGAGTTCTGAGTCCTAAACTATGAGTCCTGGCTAACAGCTAACAGCGGCGCAGTGATGCGAGGAGAGGGATGAGGCTGTTAGCGACTGGCCGCTAACAGCGGCTAACAGCCAACAGCGGCGCTGGCCTGTGATTGCATTACCATTCTCCCTCAGCAGCTCTCTCTACCTAGGAAAGGCTACCCAGATGTGGGCCTTCGTTTTTTAAATTCGTCTGTCACGCTGCCTTTTCTATTCCCTTTTGCGCTTTCTTGGCGACAAGGATTCCGTCTCCCATGATGCTGCATATACATGATCCTGCATTATGCTCAAAGAGTGGGACTTTGTTTCAAATTTGCCAGGGTAGTAGCGAAGCGCCTCTTGCTCCTCTCCTTCAGCTCCTCAGTCACGCAGTGCTGGCCTGGCTCTCAACGAAAACGCTGTATGTCCCTTGCTGGCGGGTGTATTCTCAAGATGGCGAAAAGTAATGGAACCCCACAGACGACTTACCCGCACAATGTACAAACAAATCCCAAATTCTCCTTTTACGAGAATAAGTCAGATTATTGGTGGAGGTAATAGTACACCAGTGATGACATATTTATGAATGCAGACATCAATTTTTGCCAATAAACAACTGAAAATGTTACACAATGTCCCTTTAAAAAAAATGATCAATAAATATCTGAATATCTATTCTGAGTGATAAATAAATATCTTACTCCCTTACCTCACTCCCATCTTGCAGTCCATGACATTGGGAAGTTCAAAGCTCGCCAGCAGGTCAGTCATATGAAGGAAAGACTCTCCATCTTTCTCCACGGTGCCGTGGTAACCGGGCACAAATGGGAGCAGTGCATCATCCCTCAGCTTCTCAAAGCACCACATCTCGTTTTCTGAGAACTTCTTCAGGATGTTTCCCTCATCTGCTGCTTTGAAGTTACCTGAGATGAGACAAGGCTTTGGATTTCAGGCATTCACAAACAGGACAGATAAGAAAATGTGTAGACATTTAAAGAAACATGCCCTGATTTTGTTAGACCGTCCTGTACTGTGCCTGTGTGACGGAAATTATTTTAATTTCTAGTGACATGAAGCTTGCGCAAGTTAAAGCAGTAGGTAACTTTGTGATGAGTGTCACTGTATCCTGACAGTAGTACATGAGGCAGATGATCTGTGAGAAAGATCATGTTCCTCTGCCTCCTCCCGGTTTTTCTGATGGCATTTGCATCAATCCACCGTGGCTGAATGAAAACAACCAATCAGAGCCAAGGAGTCTCTAACTCAGCTGTCAATCACTGCACGTAAACTAGGCAGCAATGATCAAATATGAATCAAGATTCTGTTACTGCACTGTAGGTGGGGCTTAGTTTTGGCTCAAATATTCCCAACACGGCAGCTGGGTCACAAACATTCTCATTTTACAACTAAACAGTACACTAAAATATGTTTCTAAGAACACTTAAGTGAGAAATAGGCAATGCAGTGACAGAATCTTGATTCATAAATTGATTCAAAGTTGCTTAAGCTTTGTTAAGCTAGTAACATCGTCATGGGCTTGTGTGTGTCTGGTACTTTTCGTGAAGCAACTCAACTGAATGTCATCTAAAGTTTGCTTATGATCAATGTCCGAGCACTATCTTAACATCATATTCTGCCGCCCCACTTTGCACATAAAGGTAGCATAAGCTAACTTAGCTAAATAACACCATAGCACAGCACAGCTAGAAACAACTACATACGATTGGTTGAAGCTTCACCATGTCATTGGAGCACTAGAAAAGTTAAGGTCAGCTCAGCTTTGATTTGTAGTGTGTCACACATGTGTGCAAGTGTTGGAGATCAGTTTGTAGCCAGTGGCGGAGCCAGAAATTTTTCTGTGGGGTGGCCAGGATGGTTATGTGATCATTTTGGCTTGGCAATGTCTCACTAGAAAATATAGAGGTATTTAGGGCACCTAAACCACACACCTCCACAATATTTGGATTACAGGTAATGGTGGAAAAGATCAAATAATATTCAGTGTATCTAACTTTTTTTCTTATGCCTGCAAGTAAAGTAACAAAAATGCTTACACTATACAAATGTAGCACAGGATTTTCAGTCCTGTCCCATCCCACTCCCACAATAATAATCCCATCCCGTCCCAATCCCATGAAAACAAAAAAAAAATCCCATCCCGTCCCAATCCCACAAGAATGACTCCTGTCCCATCCCGCTCCCATGTTGTGTTTCAGTTACAGTAAAAAAAAAAAAAAAAAAAACAGTACATGGATCACACAATGCCTACCTTAGTTGAATATAAACCCAAATATGACATCTAATGTTGTGTTTTGATGTTTATTGCCTAATTATGTTTACATTCACTCCACCTTGAAGCTGTTCAGAATGATAAACACATTTGATTTCTGATGTGGTCAGACAACACGTCATAAGAACCATTTCTGAGAGAGAAAAATGTAGTTAAAGTATTGCAGTAAAAGTAGTGTTTGGTTCCTCTGACTGATATTATTATATATGAGATCATTAGATTAATAATACTGAAGCATCAGTGTTAGAGCAGCATGTTACTGTTGTAGCTGCTGGAGGTGGAGCTAGTTTCAACTACTTGACTATTGTTATTATGATAGGCCTGTCATGATAACAAATTTTGCTGGGCAATTAATTGCATCAGAAATTATTGCAATAAGCGATAATATTGCGTAATATTGTGCTTTTAAGACCATTTTTATTACGGTTGTAATTTTGCTGTTTTTAGCCCATTTTTTAAACTTATATAATGATAATAAATGCATAATGATGCAAGTACACCCTTTTAAAGAGAAATAAACATTTATTTAACAAGAATATTTACGACTGCAAAAAATAAAATTTAAATATCCAAAATAACACGTAAAAATATCGAAATAAATAAATACAAAGAAATAGAATGTCAGTCTCTCAATCTCAGGTGTGCAGTTAAGTTGGTCGTATTAGCTCTTTTTGTTGAGATGTTTTTTAGAACAAACCCGGCACACCAGCTCGTCCAAATTACTGGGCTCCCCTCTGTCATTTGGTTTAAATCCAAAACACTCCCACACAGGGGCCGTGGCATTTGGTTTAGGAACAAGTTCCCTGTCTTTCTCTTACGCTCAACTCTGCGCTCCGCTCCCTCGCCTCGCCTCGTCTCCCCCTCACGAAGATCGCACTGTGTGTGTCTGTGTGTGTGTGTGTGTGTGTGTGTGTGTGTGTAGCCCATAGCCCAGCCTCCCCCACAGAGACAAAGACACTAGATGACAAGAGCTTTCCCTCCGTTCATTACGCTAATGAACCAACTCACCTGGCTGCCAGACGATGCACGGCAGTGAACGCTCTTGTCGTCCAGTATCTTTGGTGGAGAGAGACGAGGAAAACAAACACGAATAAATATGGCAAATAATCCCATGTTATCCACCGTCTTTGTCTTCTCTTCTTTTTGTTTAATGGCAGTACCATCTTTGTCTGGTCGCACCTTCACACCAAATATCCAAAACGTAGGATGTGCATGCATCTAAAGTGTCCGGTAGTGCAGGAAAAGTTCCGCACGTCGGCTGTGATGTGGTGGTTGGGGTCAGGCCAGGGTGGCCAATAGGGTGGCCAGGATTCAACGTGAGGTGGCCACAGCCACCCCCTGCCACCCCACACCTTCGCCATTGTTTGCAGCTTCATGTCACCAGCTTTCATTGAAAATGACCTGTAGCCTTTTGCTCACAGTAAATGGACTGCATTTGCATCGCACCTTTCCAGTCTTCCAACCACTCAAAGTGCTTTTTACACTACATGTGACATTCACACACTGGTGGCAGAGGCTACCATACATGTTGCCACTCACTTACACACTGACAGAACAGCCATTAAACGCGATTTAGGGTTCAGTATTCTGACTGTAGAGTAAGGGATCAAACTGCCAATCTACCAATTAGTGGATGACCAGCTCTACCTACTGAGCCACAGCCGGCCTAAACGGCATTAGAGACTCCTCAGCTCTGATTGGCTGTTTTTATTCATGTATGGTGGATTCTTGCAAATGCTAATGGCAGCTCTATGAGGGGAGGAACATGATTTTTATCACAGATTATCTGCCGGTATACAGTGACAGTTTCAGCAATATAACGCTAAATAATTTTTCTAAAAGTTACCAACTGTAGCTGTAATGCTCTTGAATTTATTGTTTGTTTGTTTGTGTTGCATGGAGACGGTGTTAAAGGAAGCAACAGATCTAACGTCAGTCATCCATGACAGTAGTGTTTCAGTGCCTGTCAGTGAGGTGAGAGTGCCTGACCAAGCACACAGACACAACAATGATCTGAACAGGTAATACCTTTATGCCCGGCCAGCTGAACCCAGTTCAGTTTTCTCCTCTGTGTAGCGCTGAAGGGCCAGTGGACAATCGTCTTCAACTTCCACCATGGCTTACTCTGTAGAAAACATGCAAGAAAACAAGCATTGAGTCAAGTTTTTGTGTCTGTCTGTGTGCCCTTGTTCCCACAAATAATCTGAGAACAGAAAGAAGTCTGACCTACGCTGGAAATCTGATCGAATAAGCGAGTCAACTCAGTAAATCTGATGCCAAGCTTTTGGTTTTCCACTGTGTGAAACCTCCAATCTAGGTCAGCTAAATGCCATATCTGTGGAACCTTATATCGTACTCAGCATCTCTTATTCAGCACCTCCAGCTTGGTGTGGTGACAGAGGAAAATCTACTATCTAATATCAGCTTACAGCTTAAGACATTTTCTGCTTTATATTCAAGGAGGATTTAGAACGTCACACTGGATGAATAATTTGTCATCTTTGGTCAAATGGCCGTATCTCAAGGGGAAAGTGAACACCGAATATCAGAGGGTGACACTGCCCTCGCTGCTGGCCTCTCAGCTCCCACTCGCTTGTTAGCAATGTCTGAATTTTTTAGTGTCACACGAGCGTTTGCAAATCAAAGTGTGCACTGAATCCTGAACAAAGAAGAAAAAAGATGACTGACGGGTGAATTAATTTTTCTTGGCAGAGGTGGTAAGTTTTTCATGGTTGTTTGTTTAAGGACTCTTCATGCCTCCCTCGCTTTCTCTTTCTCTGTCTCTCACTATGCACACACGCACGCACACACACACACACAAGCGTGCGCACTCACACAAAGAAAACACAGCAACAGCTTGCGAATTTCACAGAGACACGGTGGTGTTTCACACTTGTGGAGAACTGCTTGTTTCATTCCCTCCTAGAAAACTGACCATATCTCAAATAAACTTAAACACCAAGAGGTTTTTTTCGTTTTTCCATCCAGTCAACTCAAATTTAATTACAAGGAAAATACACTGAATAAACAAATTCCCCGGCACTGCAGAGGAAAACTAGTACATGCTGTTGGATCCTGTTTTTATGCTCTGGAGAGGTCATTTTATTCTGTGTGTTCTGATTGAAAACAGGAAATGAAACAGGGACTCTCGAGTTAGTGAAACGCAAAGCCCTGCATGCAGCCAGCCAAGTCTCTTAAATGTCAGGTGATATGCTTGACTTACCATAGTGCTTCTTGTTTACTGATAATATCGCATTGTGAAGGTGAGCATGTGTTTTAAAGCTGCAAGGCTGTGACTGTACTGAAGACGTCTGGATTCATGAGGTGTAATGTGTTATCCTCAGACTGCCAGGGAATGGAAACTTAGATGCGAGTTTTGATGTAAACACGACGACCCTGCAGCTCTATCGCTAATATTTATGTTTGACACACAGTCTGACATTGAAGCTGTTAACGTGTTATTCGCACCACGCTGTCCCGGCTGGCCTTGATGACAGAAACCACAAGAGTTTGTACTGATAACACTCAGAATAATGCTGGTTTCACTCTCTTAGAAGTTGAAATAAAAGGTTTGCACACTGCATCAAAAGCTGCCTGAATAACAGAGAAGAAACTGAACTGCTAACAACTCATTGACAGCTGAAATTTGACATGGAGCCTTAAAATAAACAGTTTTTTATGAGGCATTACAAGAAAAAGAGGTCGGAAAACAGATTTAATCCTTATAAATGTGTAAACTTATTATGTTTTTATGCATAATCCTAATTTTAAAAGTAACTGCACCTGCTGGATAAATGTTTAGGAGTAAAATGTACAGTACAGTATTCAATTCTGCTGCTGATGCACAAGTAAAAAATGTTGGAGACTAGAAATACCCAAATAAAGTACAAGTACCTCCAAATTTTACTTAAACTCACAGCAATAATTTGTCGCTAGGGTCCCCTCAATCAAAACAATAACAAAAGATAGACTTTGAAGAGGTTGTCAATTAGCGTGGGATCATGGGAGTCGTCTTTACTGTTTAAAAAACCACCTTTGCAGATTAAAATCTATCTGACGTGACTCAGGCAGAAACCACGTTCACTTTTATTCATTTAGTCACGCTACGTTATTTCATTCTAATGAAATGGCTGCTAATGTTAGCTGACTTAGCATTAACTTGCTAACTTTCCATTAGCATTAGCATGAGTCTACCACCCATACAGCCACTGTAGCTAATGCAGGGTTAGCCAGACTTTCTTCATCGTGGACTATGTACAGAAAACTAGAAGGAGTCATGGGCCAAACAGTAGTAGGCTAAATGTTATCATCAATCACTGTTTCTATATCATGAAAGCCCATTTGCTGTAGAAAATTCTACACAACACTACTAAAAAGTTCAACATTTGACATTGCAATTAGTGTGCCCACATATTACAAAAATGTCTATATCTTCCATCTTTTCAGGTCAGTCGCCATGTTTACTGAGGTAAATGCTCTTATTGACTGGTAATCAATTATTGTCGGTGAAGCAAGTGAAGAAGTGCATCGGCAGGGCTTGCTAGCAGTAGGCTAGTTGTTGAAGATGACAGTCAAATTGTGTTTAAACTAGGCTGTGCAATGTGCTTACAATTTATTAGAAATATGCTCACGCCATATTCTAGTTTATTTCTAAAAATTGGTCACGGGCCATTTAAAAACCAGCAGCAGAACACAATTGGCTCGCGGGCTGTACTTTAGCCATCACTAAGCTAACGTTATGTGGTGGTCTGTGGTCACCGTTATGTGGTGGTCTGTGGTCAAAACAATCATGCTAAAAGCTTCATGAGCGTGTTACATTGCTGTAACGTCCAGGGACACACTGTCAGGAGACGCACACCAGGCAAATGTTTTGGGCGCCACAAAATAACTTGGGAAAAGGAGCCACTGATGGCCACGTTATTGGCACACTCTGTAATGACATCTATAAACCCCCAAAACGGCACTCTACAGTGCTCCATTGTTGCTCCAAAAACCACAAAAGTGGGGCCCTTTCTAGCGACTGATGACAGCTGGATACAATTGTTAGGACAGTCAGCTAACTATGTGTACATATGTTAGGTGTAAGGGGTGTAAATCACGAGTTTCATCATGATACAATATTATATCAATTGTTTGGGCAACAATACTATATTTGCTGATATCTAGTCTGCCATGATACGATTTCAATTCGATGTAATTCAGGGGTCTGTGATCGATATGAGACGATATCAGAAAATACGCTCATACTTTCTTGGCTGCTTGCCATCGTCTGCACGACACAAGGCCACCAGCACTGTTTGAATGTTGAGAAGGGAGGTGTGCTCAGACAGATATGGCAACATAGACATGCCATGGGAATTTCAAAATAAAGGAGTGTCCTAAGGCAGATGTTCCGCATCAATGTTTTCACGTTGCATCGATGATATTGGAACGTTGATCGTTGAATCGATATATCAATATGGATTAATGTATTGTTACACTACTATGAGGTGGCAGCACAACCACCATGGACATTGTCACCCACCCACCACCACCCCTAAGATCGCCACTGATAACATTAGAATGTTACGACATGCATTAGTTTAGTAACTAGCATGTTTGGTGACATAGTAATTGTCAGAGTGAGCTAGATCGATATCAGTAAATTAGGTCTCTGCTGAAAATGGCTTTAAATTCATTTTAAAATGATGCTGTGTGGCAGAGAAAATGCTGTAGTACCATTACTGGGTATTATTCTGTCACACTGTATGATTCTTTCCTCACACTCCTTAGTTAGAGTTAGTTAAATTAGAGCAACTAGAGGGGGTAAAGGGGATATGATGCCATTGACAGGCGACCAAATGAGACGGTTGGAAGATTGTTGGAAACATTTGAGATAGTGTCAGTACACAACTCAAGAAAATGTATAATACTGTTGAGGTCATTTTTAGACCTTTCAATGAAGAAATATTACATATACATTTAGGTACATAACTTGAGTAAATGTAAACTGTTACTGTCCGCCACGGCTTAAAACAAAGATGTTTTATTTACTCTCCCAAATGTAAAGGAGCTTGTTTCTAGGATTAGCCTCATGTTTGCTTTTTCCAGCCCTATACACACTCGCCTTCTGCTCTGTCAGACCAGGTCTGTTGTGTGTGCTACTAACTGACACACCACTGCTGATCTGAACAGTCAGAGCAGTCGTTAGCAACACAGCAAACACACCGACGGCGAGCTTCACCATTTTCCAACAATTCATTTCACCGAGGAGAACAACAATCAGACAACGTGACTCACTCAGCCAACCATCATTATCACTCATGCCTTCCATGTCGCGCTGTATTGTCATCTGCAAGTGCTAATGGGATGTGAACTGCTGCAAGATGAACGAGTGAATCCTGTAATGATGAGCCTGTTTGTCTGTCTGTTCTCTACCCTGCTGTGTTTCCATTAAAAAACACTTTGCTGCTCACTTTTAGGAATTCATCTGTACACACACACTGAACTGGAAAAAGCTGACGACTGATAGATGGTGTTTTTGACTTCCTGAAGTGGTTATTTGTTAAATGTCAAAGGCCAAGGCTTACATTACTGACCACAGAAACACATCATTACACAATGACATGTTAGTGTGTGCTGTGTGTGCTGTGTGTGTGTGCGTGGGCTGATGTGTGGGCTGAAGGGGTAGATGCATAAGTGTGACTATATTCAGAGACAACACAACCAGTGTGTTTCCATTCTGCGCTGTGATGCCTTTAAAAGCCTCTAAAGAGGTAGAATGGACTTTTATTTGGGAAAGACTTCACGTTGAGCCTCACTTGTTTGAAGAATGTTACTGTACACTGTCTCTCGCACACATTCGGAGGCTTAACAGGCAATGTGTATTCAGTCTGTTTAAAGGAAAGTGACAGCTCCAGGCCTTGTATGGAGAAGGTGATGAGAAGTGGTGGCACCATAAAAACACACACACACACACATTGAAAGTCTGAGTCTAATGTGGTGATAGTGTAGACACAAAGCAGATTATGCTGTGCAGAAACCAGGACGTGACTCACAACGGTCACACTTCCCAACGAATCACACGAAGGGACAGTGATTGAGCCAAAGCTGCAAAAATACACATCGTGGATGAGCTGAGTTTGAGCTTCTCGAAGATCTTAAACTGCATTATTTGCATGCAGGCGTGCTCATAAGAGCGAGACTTGTCAGCTACAAAGCTTTATCAGCCAAGAATGTCAAACAAATTTCCACCCTAAGCGTCTATTGAACTAAAGGCCGATCCCTCAACACCAGTCTGTGTGCAGAAGGAGGGAGGCACAGTGATAAAGGTCAGGGCTTACATACGTTCCAAAATATGATCTGACATTTAACATGCAACAGATGCATTATTATTAACAAGTTATCCACTCGTGTGACTGTTTTTGAGCCACTGAATCATCAACCTGTGGTTTTATCGATGTGTACAGCATGGCCTTTAAGATACTTCACAGTAAACATGATGTGTCATTTTGCTGCACTATAAAGGTTATCAAGCTTTCAGCAGCGTCTTCGTGTTGGTTTAAGTTCTCGCAGCGCCTGGGATCATTACAGTGATGTGAGAGGCTCTGATAAGTCATTAAACATAAGGGAAGATAATGTGATTTCAATGGGGACAATCAAATTTCCTCAGAGATTATCCTGCGCTCTCTGGCAGCGATCTTGAACTTGTTTAATCTTCCTTTTCACATGATCTGCAACAGCAAGAGAAAAGTAGTGTGGCTGACCGCTGCATCTGACAACTGACATTTCCCAGATCTCCAAACCAGAACAGATACAGAAATAACTTCTGCAAAGGTAGAAGTGACTGATTTCTGCAGAACTCACTTCTTAAACATTTCATGGACTCAAGATCAGCCAAACAGAACAAATGCTAACACTGTTATCAGCTGCTCTCTGCGGCCACAGATCCCAGTGGTCCTCTGTGAGGAAGTAGTTTGCTGGCTGCTGTTTATGTGCGGCTCTGCTTCACCATTTCTTGTTTGCAAAACATCAGGTCTTTACTGTAACTGGGTAATTATAGAGGGTGCAGATTAGAAAAGATACACGAGGTCACAGAGGATAATTTGAAAGGTTTTTGTCAGTAAACATCCGGTGCTGCACCACCAGCCTCAGAGACAACTTACTGTACACCTATTTATATCACTTTATTTCAAATACATTATATTGTATTCCTACATTATAAACTCTGTAGTGTTTTTTGTCTTTGATTCTCATTTTTACATGTGTGATTTTCTTTTAAAACATATTTGTGTGAGCATTGTAGCGTCACTGTGTTTGTGCACATGGCATTGAAGGATTTAAACTTGTCCTAGGATGCCTCATGCAGGCAAATCTTTGCTGTAGTTGGTTTAGTCATATAATATATAACAGTAATTCATACAGGGAGGCAACAGATAACGGATAACGGTGTAACGGAGACATAAGTGGCATAATTTGCTTGTAAACCTGCCTCTGACTCATGAAACCTCAAACAAGGGAACCACTTTAATGGCCCTCTTCACTGGATCTTCATTCCCGTGCAGTTCACTCACCTCTCCAGTGTCCACCAGATGCTCCAAAGTGATGATGCCTTTGCTTTTGCTCTCGTTGTCGCTCAGTAAATCATCCTCGGACTCCACAGCAGAGGAGCCTGTGGAGGAGATGGAGGAGTTGGACAGTTTCCTGCGCAGGGTACCGTCCACAGCATCATCCCAATCCTCCTGCTGCATCTCCCGGGAGGAGCCGCCTCCCTCGGGGGTGATGGTGACCTGCGGTACCCGGCGCGCATCCATCACAGTCGGCGCTCCGGTTGCGGACGACGGGGCGATTTGAGCGGCTTTCTGAATGAGATCATCGCAGATTTGGGATGCTTTCACTCCGGCTGTTCTCCTCTCTGTACGGGCCCCGTCGTTTATTCCAGTCCCAGAGAGTCCGAAGTCTTTGGAGGTCTTTCTCCTGCACTCTTTGGGCATTGGAGAGCTGAATCCGTCGTGAGAGCGCACGAGGAGAGGCGCAAAGACGGATCTCTTTAATCTTCCAAATCTGGTAATTTCACTTTCAGAAAGTTCAGAGTGAGTTTAGGTGTTCAGTCGGTCCCCTGCGGTACTTCCTCGTTGTTTGTTGTCCGAGTTTTCACACATAAAAAACCTCTGTCAGCCTCTGTGCTCTGTGCGCACTGTTGGAAAGGGGAACCCCTCTGTGGTGGTGGCGTAGCTCGCGCTTCGACGCGGTTACACGCGCGCGCCGGCGCATTCACTTACACAAGTGTAGCCTACATGGCTTGTCATCTTCCGCATTGCCTCTCTCGCTTCCTGACTGAAATTTAAACCAGTTGACGGGTTCAGTTTTGTGATAGACTCTCCTCTGTCTCGCGCTCATCTCCGACATTAACCCTAAAATAAAGTGTGACTGCACCTTTAAATCAATATGTGCTCAACACACATGAAATAAAACATGTTTTAGTTGCTGCACTGAAAAACATGCACACCTGCAGAAACCTCCCTTTAAAGCTTCAGTCTTCAAGCCTTCGAAATTACACATATGTTGGCATTTAATTAAAATAACTTTTATCTCTAATAAACTCTGACAGTGCGCGGAATTTCAAAATAAAATGCGGAATCTGGATATTCAAAAGACTACTTGTGAAATCTGGCGGCATAAGAGGAAGTTAAGAGTATTTGAAGTTATATTGTCGTGCCATTGTCATCCAGGAGGGGACGCTCCTGTGCGGATTTTTCACCTGACAGCTGTTGATGTGAGAGGAAACAATCAGCACTGAGAGGACAGATGGTGTGAAACTGGATGATGAATCACACTAACAGCCACCGTAGTGACTCAGCCATTATGAAATTAATACATTTACAAGTTAATACTTCCACTACCATCTGTATCATGTTTATGGATACACAACCAATCAAAAGTTTGGAATCGCTGATCAGATGTCTGAGAGGACGACGATTCAATAGTCTTGAATGGTCTTCAGTGCTTTTAGTATAAAAAATTAGGTTGTAAAAAGTTCTCTTTAAATATAGATGTTATGTTTGTGTGAAGGGTTTAGACAAATAAGAATAAGCAGCAGTGTTTTGCACAAGGACAGTGACGGACCCAGCTCATTTGGCGCCCTTGGCAAGCTTCCCCTGACACCCTCCACTATAAAATAAACAATTTAGCCAACAAACAATAATATCAAATATCAAACAAATGAAGCTTTGCCTTAGTTCAGGCAGGAAGTCATAAGGATTTAATGTCTTGCTTGGGCTCACTCTTATATATCTGGTGGGGGGGGCCCGTGTTTTGGCACAGCATGCTGTTTGTCTATCCAGGGAGCACCTCAAGCACCAACCACGTGCGAGACGAGATTTGTCCTGACTGAATAAAAGAATATGATATGTGCAAATTTGCGAACTTCAACTTTTTCCTTGTTGGTGTGTGTAGGCTTCTGCACCTCAGATGGCTTAAGCGTGCGAACCAAATGCAGTACACTACAGTGGCTCAACTCAGGGGCAGTGTGGTTGCACTGTGTTCAAAGAAGAACTCATACTAAATAAAAAAATGGTCCCATTTACTATAGGCTAGATGCCACGAAAAATGCAAACCTATCTTCAACATGGTTTTCTTGTCTCGTCTCGTCTCGTCTTGTCTCGTTCGTCTCGTCTCGTCTCTTTCGTCTTTTCTGTTTTTGGTAAAATAGTCTGTAATCTGTAACCCAGCCAACATTTGTCTGTGGGGCCCATGTGGGTAGTAAATGGGCTGAAAATTGGGCCTTTAAGGGATTGTCAGTGGGTTCCATAATGGCCCCATGCCAATTGCCCACATGGGTGAGACCATTTTCGGCTCACCCACTTGGTACCCAGGTAGCTGTAGCATAACCCATGTGGGGGGGGGGGTTCTCATTTCCCTTGATATTTTTATCATATACAGGGTATGCAAAGATGATTGTTGGGTGACATGTATGTTGATGTTGTCTAACATCAAGTCTCTATTTGATCATGTGACAAGACGATACGACACAGGAGCTAGTTTAGGTGCAAAATCTGTCAAGACCGACAAGCGGAACACATTTTATGGCTTTTTATAAGCAGTTGCCATTGGTATGTGTATGCGCCTTACAACTAGTAACTTGCATGCACTAGGGTCCATCACAATAGCGTGCGCTGGGGCCCGTGGTAACTACCTAACACCACTGGTTCAACTAGACCGACAACAGAAAGGTCAGAACGAAACTATATGGCTAGAATTAAAGAAATCACCAGTCACTGTAAAAGAACGTGGGAACTTCCTGTTTCGGGGTCAAGTGCACAATAATACTTAGAACGAGCTGGAATGAATAGACGTGTTGCTTTAGCTGTTCTTCAAACTTTACAGTAGAAACAGAAGGTTAGTCTTGGGGTTGCACTGTTGGAATTGGATACGGGAACATCAGATGACCACAGACTGTAAAATTCACAGTCTGAACCAATTCAATATATCCACTAAGAGACTGCAGATGGCCCAAAGACAAAGAGATCCCCAACATATTTACAGCCCATTATCACTGTTATAGTTCAGTAATGGTTGAGGGTCACTTAGGCTTCAAAATCGAAGGATAATTCGGGAAAGATGCTTCAGACAGTGTTCTCCCCTGGCATGCACCACTGTGGGGATATCGACTAAACTGAAGTTTTGATCATTTAGATATTCTTCTTCTTTTGGGACCGAAACTCTTTCACCACATTTGGTGTCTGAATCATTTTGGTTTATCTCTGTTAAATTTGCCGTTATTAAAGGTTAAAGCTTTTAGGTTGTCTGCACCCACAGCCTTGGACAATCTGCTCTTAAGCTTCAAGACATGGTGACCCTGAATGAGTTTAAAACCACAGTGAAATCTGTTGAGGCCAGGCTGTCTGTGTGCAACTGTCTTATCTGGTCATTTTATGTTACTCAAATCTGTGTGTTTTGCAATATGATCACATCAGTTTTAACTGCTCTAGCTTATGTGCAGTACATGATAGGATATTCATTCAGTATCATTCCTTTTCTCCTTTTTTTGATTTGGTGGTTTTGTCTCAATTAGCCCCTCAGCGTGGAAGGAGAAAGCTGCTCGGCTTCATACAGTTGTCTCTGACATTCTCCCTGTTGATGTGCACCACCCTCAGCCACTGGCCCCCAGTGCCCTTCCCTCAGCAGGGGCCGACTGCCTGATGTCCTGCTTCTGCATGGATAGTGTTGTTAAATGTTGGTAGATGAATGATTTTAGTATCTAATCTTAAACAAATCTACGAAATCATTAAGATAAAGTAATAATTTTTTTGCAGTTTTAAATCTTTGAAAGTCCAAGTAACGTCCTTAGTGTCCTCACAATAATGTCTTCACTGTCCGTTCTCTCGTGTTTCAAGTCTCACTTCATGTCAGTAGTTTCCATGTGTACCCACGCTGGAAATCTTATTCGGTTTCTAATAGTTACTTTTTACTTTTCAGTTCCCAAATCAAGGAAACAAACGGGAACAGTCTGCACTTGTACAAAAAGACTTAATCGCCCACAAACACAGAATCACAAAAATACCAGCAGCTCACTAAAGATTTATCCGCAGCCAAGACAGAATATCATTCATGTCTTCTCCAATATGAACAAGCGAACACGCTTTCAGTGGAGGAAGAGTTCCAGATATGTCATCCCAAATACACACACACACACTTTCTTCTTCAAAATGATACAGAGAGAAATTTAGTCTTTGATACTTTGATGGATCAAAAGGCAGTCTTCTCTTCAAGTCTCACCTCAAAAGTTTTCCTTATCATTCCTCATCTCTTCATTCATGATCTGACCTTTTCCACCTCCATCCTCTTTTTTTACATTTATCTCACCTGCATGCACACATCCAGGCCCACATACTGTACATACACAGACACACATGTACATAATGAGTGCATGAGCATTTTTTTTCTTCTCTATCTCCATCAGTGACGTAGTTCTTCTTCCCTTTCCCTTGCCCTCTGGCCTCTTCTTCCTCTCTGTTGTAAGCTGAAGCTGCTGCTGTCATACTTAAATATGAGCAAATAAATCAAGAACAGAGGCACAATGACTGACACATTAAAGGAAGAATAAAAACACTGATAATACAGCCTGTGAAAGAGGATATGTATTTTAATGACTGAGGTAAATTAATGAGCTACATCAAGTAATAACAACTCTAAGGTGTGCTGAATTAACAGTCAGGTAATGCTGCCTTAGGGGCCTCAAAACTCCAGGGGTCACAAACGCTCAGGCTTAATCTTAAAGCAAGACTTCACCCACAAAATCATCATTGGTGTTTTGGTTAGTCATGCTGTGTTACTGTGACTTTGTGAGGAATTTTTTTGTTTTTGCACGCCTCCAAAAAAAAAAAAAAAAAGGCAAACATTTTAATTTACTGATTACTGGGGGACCACGTTTAACAACAGCAAAACTTAAACACATCATCCTTTTACAAATTCTCACACATTTAAAACTCAGCTGAAGGTTAAACTCTTCTATGCTCTCTTCAAAGCCAGACCCTAATACTAAGGTTTTTTTGTGAGAAGACATGTTTGGGAAGTATGAGCAGACAAATGAAACTTAGAGTTTGTAAATATTTGTTTTGATAAAGTTTTGCTGTTGCTGCAATTAATCAATAAATTAAAATGTTTGCTATTTTTTGTGGAGGCATGCAAAAAAAAAAAAAACAAAGTTTTCTTTACAAATTTAAGGTAACAGAGACTGTGACTATTTACAACTGATTTAGCAGGTGTGTTTTAATCTAATTAAAAAAAAACATGAAAAAGAAAAAATAGTTTAGGCCTTTTTGTTTCAGTTTTGTACTTACATGTTGCATATTTAGAAATTAATTTGGTCAAATTGGCACACATCAAGTCTGGGGCCAGGTGTACAGTTTTACACAGTAAATGGGAAGAACTGAGGGGCCAGCAGGACACTGGGGGACACCAGGCAGGTTATTCATGCCATGCACTCATGGGCAGACTACAAGACAGCGGTGACCCCACCACCTCTCTCACAACGAAGCAAGACACACAGACTGTTGGTGGTTTTGCATTTCTTTGTAGTTATGCATTCTTTTGTGGGTTTGTGTCTCTTTGACTTAATATTTTTGTCTTTTTTTGTTGTCTTGTGTCTTTTTGTGGTCATATTGAGTGCCATCCTCAACAGTATGAGTTAATTTGACATTTGACTTTTTGCAAGTGAGGGCCACAGGGCCCCCTGACACTTTGGGCCCCTGGACCTGTGCCCACTTGGCCCGGTCTATAATCCACACATGCACTAAGAGACACAAAACATTTTATGTCTCAATCAAATGTGAAATTAACTTTAAATATTAACTGGTGTGGTTGTATTTTCAACTGCCTTGCTGCCAGTTAGCAGATCTTCTGACATGCCCTCTCAGTCCAGCAGGTGGCGGTAATGCTCCAATACACTAGTTTACAAAGCGCCAATAAGCAGACAGAAGAAGAGGAAGCACCGCCTGTGTGAGTGACGTTTATGGTCCTGGTAAATAGTAGCAGAGTGAGACCTCTGACTTTGTTTCTGCTAAGGGGCAGCTAACCCAGAGTCTGACAGGGTGACAACTTTTGTTTTATTTCCCTCTTATAACCTGTCAGTCTGCAAGCAGCACCATGTTTGCCGTCAGAAACGCTCTCCGCCTCGGCTCCAGGCTGTCCATCCCCACGGTGGCGAGGAGAGGATGCGCCGGGGCTGCCATCCCAGTGGACGACGTGGTGAATGGACTCACCGAGGACCAGATACAGGTTAGCTAACGAGCAGCTCAAAGTTCACCTATCTGCGCACATAAGCAGAAAATGATTTAAAAAATAAAGGCTCACAGTCCCATGAAGCAAAGGTAAAGTGCGGTGTGGTTATTTAAGGTGCGCTTGACGTGATGACATAACGGCTAACAGGAGACCTTGGTGTTAGCCGACGAAGCTAAGCTAACCACTCTGCTAATAGATGTTTCGCACTCTGCATCTACATAATGTCAGTCCAGAACAATCTAGTTTACACATATTTAATTACTAAAGCAACTAACAGTAATAACTTCTCAATGAGCAGCGTTTTGGGCTTGAACAGCTTGATTTAGCACTGTTAGCCGTGCTAGCTAGCTCTACTGCTACCAGCTAATTCATCGTAATAAAAAGTTATTAAGTGTTGAAAAAAGGCTCATTGAATCGAGATTTATCAACTCAACACAAGGTGACACCAAGTCAGTGATACTTGGCACCAAGTCAAAGAGACTGGACACTGGCTGGGCGGAGGAGGGCAGAGGGTGGAGATCATATACAGGATTTGATTGGGTGAAAGTGGCTGTCCTCCTGCCCTGGTTGTTATGAAGCTGAATACTGTAAAGTGAGTTTTTTTGCATGACTGTGAAATACATCTTAGCATATTTACCTGTAACGTAAACAGCACTCAGTCTTCCATGCAGCCAGATGAAGAAGGGACATGGGAACTAAAGCTTTCCTGTTCAGCTGTCAGTCCTGTTATAACCCTGGGGAAAAAGGTTGGGATGTTGTGTAAATAAAAACAGAAGGCAGTGATTTGCAAATCCCCTTTAACCTGTATTCAGCTGAAACACGAGATATGCATACATATACATACATATATATATATATATATATATATATATTAGGGGTGTAACGGTACACAAAAAACTCGGTTCAGTACGTACCGCGGTACACAAGTCACGGTTCGGTTTTTTTCGGTACAGTAATAAAAAAAATAGACAACTATTACATATCTTTTACTTATTGGTAACCTTATTAAAACATACCACCACAGCAGTTAACTCTTTTTACACAATTTTTGAATGAAACAAATATATATAAAATCCTGCTTTTTCACATTGTTTGAATGAAAATAGAAATATAAAAGTGAAAAATAAAATCCTGCTGTTTTTTTTAACACATTTTTTGAATGAAAAATATAAATATACATTTCTGCTTTAACAGTTTTACTCAGTTAAAATAAAAAGTATAGTGCAGCTGGTCAGCTTTAAAGCCTGCTCAGAGTCAGTTTTACTAGGAACTTACTTAGCTTTCCCACTTTGTTAAAGTGCAGTAAACAAAACATGCTTATATCTAAAGTGCAGCTTAAACAGTTTTAGTCAACTCCAATGGCGTTGGTTATTTCTTTAGCGCGATGGTCAGGAAAACGCTCTTTCTTTTTAAACGACGACAATATCATCACGTTCAAACTCGGGTGGTGTCGCTTTAGATGCGTTAGCATGTTAGACGTGTTTCCAAGTACATACCCGACCGCTGTTCTGCAGTGTCGGCACGCTGCTTTTGTCTTGTCAACTTGTTTATTTCCATCTTCGTATTTTACCCTGAAACCAAAGTGTTCCCAAACGGAGGACTTAAGGTTTGCGGGTGGGTCTTCAGGTTCGTCAGGCTCACTTGCCATGTTGTCAAAATGCTCTGAATTTAATGCCTGCAACACACTTCCTTCAAAGTTGGTACAGGGGCATGTCTACCACTGTGTTACATCACCTTTTCTTTTACACACTTTGGTAATGGAGGACACTAATTGTTGAAGTTTTGCTTTTGCTATGTGACTGCAGTTGCTCAACAGTCTGGGGTCTCCATTGCCATATGTTGTGCTGCACAGTGCACTAAACATTTTCAATAGGAGAGAGGTTTGGACTGCAGGCTGCCAGTCTAGCACCCACACTCCTTTACTTCAAAGCCACACTGTTGTAACACATGCAGAACGCTGCTTGGCATTATCTTGCTTGACTACGCAGGCACGTCCCTGTAAAAGACCTCGTCTGGATGGCAGCATATGTTGCTCTAAAACCTGTGTGTACCTTAAGTGTTTATGGTGACTTAACAAATACACCAACCTATGATGCCACGGGCACTGACACACCCCCATCACAAGTGCTGGCTTTTAAACTTTGTGCTGGTAACGGTCTAGATCAGTGGTTCCCAACTGGTCCAGCCACGGGGTCAAGATTTCTCTTTAGTCATTAGTTCAAGTTCCACACAGTTTAATATATTACGCAACATACTTGTATTTGTCTATGTTGTCAAAGTAGTTTGCTGTCTCTGATAAGTACCTGTCTGTTTGTCATTCATTTTACAGCAGGAAATGGCACTTCAAAATAAAACCTCTGTGCAGAAAATGTACTGTACTTCAAAATAAAGTGTGTATTTTTTTACAGACTTGACACAATTGTGAGTCACTTTTGGACCACGATCCACCAGTTGGGAACCACTGGTCTAGATGGTCGTATTCCTCTGTAGCTTGGAGTACATGACGTCTTTGATTTCCAAAAACAATTTGAAATGTGGACCTGTCAGACCACAGCACACTTCCCACTTTGTATCAGTCCATCTCAGATGAAAGAATATAAATGAACTTCAGGCGCTCATGTGTGGAGCAGGAATGAATGCACATGAATTGAGCTAAAAATCCTGTATTCAAAACTCGGCTACTTGCATTAAACCACCGACGAGTTTGAAGCCTAAGGTCTCAAGATTCAAGCAAACATTTCTCAGATGAGCTCAGGCCCTGAGAAGTCGGCAGCATTTCAGGATGTTGTTGATATATAGCTTTCACTTTGCATGGTTGAGTCTTAACTTGTATTTGTAGATGCAATAGTGTACTGTGTTTACCGACTATGGTTTTCCAGAGTGTTCTCAAGCCTATGTAGTGATATCCTTTTATACAATCATGTCAGTTTAATGCAGTGTCGCCTGAGGGGGTCGAAGATTCTCAGGCAATTAATGTTGGTTAATCTTGCCCTTTATGTGCAGAGATTTATCCACATTTTCTGAATCTTTTGAGGATCATAAGGATTGTAGATGGTGAAATCCCGAAACTCCTGGACTTTGAGATCCTGGACTGTTTGCCCTACACAGTTTTTCATAAAGCGACCGTCCGTGCTTGTGAACATCTGGCCTTTCGAGGATGTCCCTTTCACACCCAATAATGATACTTTTATCTGTTACCATTAACCTGTTTACCTCTGGAACGAGCCAAACGGGGGTTTTTGAGCATCCCACAACTTTCTCAGTCTTTCATTGCCCCTGTCCCAACTTTTTTGGAACATGTTGCAGGCATCAAATTCAGAATGAGTGAGCATTTACAATAAACAACATTGAATATCTTCTATCAGTACTGTATTCAACTGAATATAATGATAATAACTTTATTTGTAGAGCACTTTCCGAGCTGAAGTGCGTTCCAAGGGGCAGAAAATACAAAACAAAAGTGATACTAATAAAACACAAGCATCTGTGTACACCTACACCTACATATACACTTAAACACATGTATACCTGTAAGCATGCATACATATACACATGGCTGCAAATACACACACTCCCATACACACAATACGTCTATCAACTGTCAGCAAAGGCCAGCCAGTAAAAGTAAGTTTTTAGATGAGTTTTAAAAACGTGAACAGAGTCAGCTGATCCAATGCTCAGTGGGAGGCTGTTCCAAAGCCGAGGAGCAAGAACTGAAAAGGCTCGATCACCCTTTGTCTTTAACCTGGACTCTGGAACAGTTACAAGACCCAGACTAGCAGACCTGAGGGGCCTGTTTGGACAGTACAGTTTATGTTTGTGCCAGATTTAGTCATGCAGGCTAATTTTCACCTGCAGTCTCTGGCAGGTTGATGGTATGTGTATATAAGAGACTTTAAAATAACATACAAAAGCACAGACGCACATAAGCACAGATGAAAGTGGATTGATGACATGTCCATAGAAGGGCACATGACCACAGAGCAAGCATGCAACCATAGACAAAGCACATAGCAAGGCACATGAGCAAAAACAAGACATAAGCACTGTTAATAAAACAATGACCATAACCATATAACCACACACATTAAGAACGTACTACATGAAACACAACATAGACCAAAGCACAACCACAAACCACAAACAAACACACAGGAGCACAAAGCAAAGCACATAAGCAAGGACGACAGCGCACGAGTACAATTAGCAAGACAGTGACATCACCATAAAACCAAAGCACATTAAGGTACCATTCAAAAGCACATAAGCCTTAACATACAGTGAGAAAACGATCATGACAATGTGTTTTCATGATCTGAATCATCAGTGTGAGAAGCTCAGTTATATACTCCAGTGCCAGATCATTGAGAGCCTTGTGATAAAATAACTATAAAATGGATTCTGAAAGAGACAGGAAGCCAATGTAGGGAAGTCTAGCTGCTGAATTCTGAACGATTTGGACCTGATGTATAGCTCAAGTGCATAGGCAGGTCAACAAGGCATTACAGTAATCAAGACAGGAGGACATAAGAGCATGTATTATTGTCTCTGTGTTATTGAAGGACAGAAATGACCTACATTTGAAGATATTCCTCAGCTGGTAGAAACAAGACTGGACTACATTCTTTATATGATGCCCCAGGATCAAATTACTGTCCAGAAGAACACCCAGATTTTATGGTGTCGAAAAAGATTTCTGTTTTTATTTGTGTTTCACACAGCACCTAAACTTCTTTGGAATCAAGGTTATGATAAAATAATGACATTTATTGTTCATGTTGTCTCTTTTGCACAGCTCAGACAGACGATTCGTAAGTTCTGTGCAGAGAAGCTTGCGCCTTACGCTGACGAGATTGACAAGACAAATGAATTCCCAGGAATGCGGGTGAGTTAAAACACTCCATTGCACACAGTGCCTGTAGTTTCTTGAGTTGAATAGTTCATAAAGTTGTGGTATTGTCATGAACGTAATGCAACGGTGCACCATATCTAGTGCAGGATTTCTGCCTTGGTAAGTTCTTGTGTTTTCTCTCCATCAGACTTTTTGGAAAGAAATGGGGGAGATGGGATTCCTTGGGATGACTGCTCCAGGTAAGACCACTGGAGTAAAGTTAAGAAGTAGCTGCCAGAGGTGAGACCAGGTCAGTTTTTTCAAGTCCAATTGAAGTCACAAGTTGGGTTGCAAGCCTTTTTGATTTTCTCAAGTCCAACTTAAAGTCATCAAACCTGTGCATTGAGTCTGACACAAGTCCAAGTCATGTGACTCAAGTTCACACCTCTGGTAGCTGCATCACATCTTCTCATAGGAAACTGGTCCTCTTAGTGTTTTAAAGTTGATTTACTCTGTACATGTCTTTCCAGAGGAGTATGGGGGCACAGGATTGGGCTACCTTGACCATGTCATTGTAATGGAGGAAATGTCACGGGTGTCTGCAGCCATTGCTCTCAGTTACGGCGCCCACTCTAACCTATGCGTCAACCAGATGGTACGCCACGGCAACGAAAAACAGAAGGAGAAGTACTTGCCAAAGGTCAGGACCAAAACAGCTCATGCTCTGCATTATAAACTGTCTGAAAAATACAAAACTAAAATAGATTCAATTCTTTATTCTCATCTTGGTTTTTCCTGTTGCCAGTTGATGACAGGAGAGCACGTAGGAGCCCTGGCCATGAGTGAACCCAATGCTGGCTCTGATGTCGTATCAATGAAACTCAGAGCCAAGAAGGAAGGTGGGACACCCTCTGCATTAGTTTTAAGTTATCCTGTATTTTGCTTGTTGTCTTTACTTCTATTGATATTAGTAGTTTATACTAGTTTATATTAGTAGTTTATACTTTTTTCCTTTTTATCAGTACGTATTCATGCCTTTGTGCAGCTGCAGCACCTGATGCCTATCTTGTCTTTTAGTTCATATATTTATACTCATACATAGATACACTACAGGACTACCTTCTAAAGTATATCACCATCAAATATTGCTAGATATGCTGTTTTGTTGCAGATCATGAATTAGTCATTTCTCGGGCTTTATACTGACTCAGGGTTTGACAAAAACGGTGTTGGTTTTTAGCCCTTTCCACATTGAATATTACACTTAAAGTGACTCCAGCTCAGCAGGGTGGTGTGTGTGGTGGATGGCCAGTGACTATATGGAGAGAGATCTGCAATTTTCAAGACGGCAGCAAAGAAAAAAGTTACAACCTGTTAATGATTTAGTTCTGTGAGGCCACAGACTTAATCTCTGACAGATAGAGTGTTGTGTGTTGTGTGTGTATTTAATTTACAGGTCCAGTGTGTAGGAAGCAGGGGGATATGTTGGCAGAAATTGAATATAATAAGTATGTTTTCTTTAGTGTATATTCACCTGAAAATAAGAATCATTGTGTTTTCGTTACCTTTGATTAAGCTGTCAATATCTACATGAGCAAGTCCTTGTTTATGGAGATTGCCATGTTGCACCACCATGTTACTACAGTAGCCCAAAATACAAACGAAACACTGGCTCAAGGTTGTGCTATTAATGTTTTTGCATCAGCCACAGCAGTTCGAAGCTCCTCTGAGACAAGCAGCATGGGAAAAACACAGATTTTTTTTAACATGAAACTGCTGTATTCTGTGTTTTTACTGGTTTCAATCACCTGGTCCATTTGTTTTGGAGAGGAATAGACCTCTGTGGATAATTCATCTCCCAGTAAAAATCTCCTGAACCTTCTGGATCTTAAGTTTTAAGAGACAAAAGGTGAGCACACATTAGCAGGTGCTGGGCTAACGGCCCATCTGTGATGTGCCAAATAGTGTAGAAGAAACACTGATTTGTAACGTGAAACTGCTTTATTCAGTGTTTTTATTGGTGTGTGAGTTTGTTTTGGAGAGGAGGAAAGTTCTGCGGATAATTTGCTCACATTAAAAAACTTCCTGGATGTCTTAATCCGGGGCTGTTGCCTGTCTTCAAATTGCCAAACAGCATTGGAGAAACACTAAAACCTCTGCAGATAGTTCAGGTCCTGGTAAAAACCTCCTGAACAATGAACATTGAAGTAGTTCTAACTTGAGAAGTTTCAACTGGTTGCGATCCTTACTGCTAGACACCACTAAATCCCCTGGTTGTTACACACTGTTCCTTTAACACCATCTCATGTCACATCACTTCTCTATCAAGCTATGTAGCCTGATAAGAGAACTATGTAGGGTGCTCATTTGGCAGCTTGATAGAGGGTTCAGAGACAGAGGAAAAACTTCGCCTCTTACACAGCATGCATAGAGTTAATACCTTTAGAGTTGCCACATTTTGATTATTTCCTCTTTTTTCTTTCATTGGCTTTTACTCTGTTGTTTGGAGCATTATTTTCTCAGTTAATAAACTGCAGTGTAGTAAAGTGTAGTGCCTGTACACAGCTACAGTAAGATCTCTAGTGGTGGGTTTAAACATTTTACAGGTTTTTGAACTGCACAGTGGCAAAAGGATAAGAAGTAGTTTTGGCTGATTGTGCTCAGAAGAGATCAGCACTTTTATTTTTTCCAAAGGTTCAGTGATTTCCACACACTGCTGTACTAGGAGTACACCGACCATGAGCCAAACCAGCAAAGGGTAAAAATGGCTTAAAGCACCCAAAAAAACAATCAAAGCCACTAAACAAACACTTCAGACACATTAAAGTGACAATGTGAAAGAGGTCACTCACTGATGAGCCTACAGAGAATTACCATCTGAATCTGCTGCTCTCCTCGGGTTTATGGAGCTTTACAGTGAGTTACAGCTCATTGTTTATCTGTGGGATCCACAGCTTTACTGTTTTGGTTCACTCTTACAGTTTACAGCAGTTTACACTCCTTGCTCGGCACCAAACAACAGACACACACCGTTAGAGACTCGCTGGTGAACCCAGTGGAGTATTTATCAGCTATAGAGCCAGATGTTTCCAGTTGATAGAGACTTAAAACAGAGCTGAAAGAGTCAGTATTATTGGTCATATGTTCACCATGTGGTCAAAATACAACTTCAAATGAATGCTTAAAATGCTCTGTAACTACTGGATGTATAAATAAGTAAGTGTTGACTTAAAGGAAATGGCCACTTTAGAATGAAAATACAGACAGTACTAACTCACTCTCATGCCGACAAGAAGTCCAGTGTAGTTTTTTAATCCACAAAACTCGTTCGGGGTATCCGAGGATAACAGCTAGCCGAATTTTTCCATACACTTGAAGTGCATGGAACCCACGTCCAAAATCATTTTGAATATGTAATAAAACTCTGCTAATGCATTTCAAAAACGTCAGAACGGCTTGTCCATCGTAATCCAAGTGCCCTGAAGCCACAGCATGCAAAATTGACTTGAAAAGACATAATGTACTCCACTTTTATAGCATCATTTCTCACCGTGGTCAGTTAGCCTGCAACTTGCGAGACTTGAGAACAAGAACGTCTCTGAACTTTCTCGAGTTTCGCGCGAGTTGCCATGTAAACACAGCACGCCTGCAGTTCCATGCACTTCAAGTATATGGAAAAATCTGGCTAGCTGTTATCCTCCGATACCCTGAACGAGTTTTGTGGACTAGAAACTACACTGGACTTCTTGTCGGCATGAGGGTTAGTAAGTACTGTCTGTATTTTCATTCTAAAGTGGTCATTTCCTTTAAGAGATGATGATATGTCAGTATTGTGTTCATGACTTGTTTCTGCTGCCCCCAAGTGGCCAAAAAATCTGTTACTGCCAGTCACCCCATCTGGCAGTGAGAGTAGTTTCACAGACACTGGCTATGTTTACATGTAGGCTAATATTCCACTATTATTCTGAATAGAACGATATTGTGAATCTGATGTGGGTCATGTAAACATCTTATTCTGTGTAGATTTTCCGAATTAGGCTTCTTTCTGACCTTAGCATTCCTATAAAGACGTGGGATGTGTCGATATTATTCAGGTTTTATGAGCATTCTTTATACATGTATACAGCGCATTTGGAATATGCATCTCATTTGGGGTTTTTATTGTAGCTTGCAACACGCAGCCTCTTTCCTGTTAACTGTCAGCTCTGTGCGTTGTCATAGATGTGTTCTACACAAACCAGTTGGCCAGCTATTTGCAAGCCTGGAGTAGAGATACATGCCCAAAAGACAAGCCCACATTTCTGATTGGAAGAAGAAAAAACACCTACTTTTAAACATGATGAAAGACTTGGACGTTAACAGGTTTTTGGATGTGTGTAAATATCACAACACTGACTTTTCAAAAGTAACCCAAGAGGGAGGCTGTTTTTGCATGGTTCAACATGTCCAAAAATCCTGTTATGATGCAAAGAAGCAAAATTACCAGCAGCTCCAGCGGTTCCACTGTAAACAACAACATGTTAGGTCATGTTAATTGGAGAATGCACAGCTGCATGTTAGCAGGAATATCAGTGGAAAATTCATTTTCATTCGCCATGTTAACAGCTTAGTAGGAATATTGTCTTATTTGGAATAAGGGCAAAAACTGGAATATTTTGTCCTTGTAAACGTAGTCACCATTGACGCATGCTTATGATTTATGCCTGCAGAGGAGCTTGCCACATTTCCCTCACCCCCAGGAGCGTTCTCTTTAAGTCTTTTTTTTTTTTTAATCTTCCACCATGCTCCTAGCTGCCGCACCGATACTCTGGTCTTTTCCCCCTTCCTTTCCCCTTTTCCTCTGGCTCACAAAAAACACGTCACTTCCAGCCAGCACAGGAAAGTCACCACAGACAACTCCGGTATACTGCAAAATAAAGAGAGCTTTCCCCGGCCGCGGTAGGCTTATTCGGCATAGTGTAAACTCACACTATCGCACTTCAGTTCAAGAGGCAAAAAGGTGTGAAGAGAGAAGGCACGCAGTGTTTCTCAAATAACCAATTATATAAAAGCAGAAAATTTAAAGTTACACATGTTCACAGAGGTGGAAATATAATTATGTGCTTTCACAGATGCACCGCTAAGTGAGTGTGTGAGTGAGTGAGACTTGTCAGAGTGCCATCAGCTGAAGGATGTGATGGTTAGGTGGCTGCACCTTCCTTCATGCCTTGTAAAACCTGAGTTATACTGTTGAGTGTAGGTTTAATGGTGGAGTATTTGTGCATGTTTGTACTGGTTTAAACGGACATATTTCCATAATGAGAGAATTTATTGTTGGGCTGTGGCTTATGAGTTTTTATGAGAAGGTAACTATTAACTAACCATAATCACAGGGCTGCACACACACGTCCCTGTTAACCTATAAACATTTAAAGATTTCAAGTAGCTGTAAAATATAAATTCTGTTTTAGTTCCACTTCATTTATATTTTGGGTTTGTGTGTTTTTTCCACAGGTGACCACTATGTTCTGAATGGCAACAAGTTCTGGATCACAAACGGGCCAGACGCAGATGTCCTTATAGTTTATGCAAAGACAGACCCAGAGGCCCATCAGAGAGGCATCACAGCTTTCATTGTCGAAAAGGTAAATCTACTCAAGTGAAGTTGTGTTCTTCTATTTTGTCAAATGAATATATATATATATATATATATAATATAAATTCGACATAATGATGTAAAAGAATTAACAGAAGTCTGTGCACGTGTGTATTCTGTAGGGCATGCCTGGATTCTCTACAGCACAGAAGCTCGACAAACTGGGCATGAGGGGCTCCAACACCTGCGAGCTGATCTTTGAAGACTGCAAAATCCCAGGTGTGTGTTTAAGCTTATGTTCACCTGTCTAAAACAGGAGAACTACAGATCTGTTCTTTTTTTCCTCTCTTTATTGGCTTATTTTTTGCGTGTGTGCTGAGTTACCCTTCAGTCTGATTCTCTCTTTATCGTATAGGTTTTTGATTTGATTTGGTTTTTGATTTGTGGAATTTTTTTGTTTGCAGCTGAGAATGTCCTTGGTCCATTGAACAAAGGTGTTTATGTGATGATGAGCGGCTTAGACTTGGAGAGGCTGGTGCTTTCATCAGGACCTATTGGGTAAGTTCATACCAGGAAAAAAAAAGCTTATATTATGAACTGTTTGAAAAACGGGAATGTTACTTATGCTGAAAACACACCAAGCAGCAGCAAAGTGCAGCTCGTGCATGTTCATGTGTTTCAGGCAGGAAGAAATTCTGTGTAACACATGTCACAGGACTCTGTTAAGTGATTGGCTGCAGATATTCTCTGGCCACAATGTGCCACTAAAAGTTAAACTGTCCCCAGCTTTTTTGGGTCATTCTTTGCGACTTGTATTGAAATGTAATGTAACTGTAATTGTATACTGCAAAATGGGCGTCATCTTTGTGTTCTCCAGCATATTTGTAACACATTAAGCTTCTGTTTTGCTCAGTGCTGTCTGTTATTTGCCTGAATCACTTATCAGTCTGACCTTTGGATTTGAATATAAGATGAGATGAGATAAAATATTGATCCTCAGAGGGTAAATTTAGTTCTTGCAGCATCACAAGGACACAAATAAACACAGATTAATGAATAATAAATAAATTAAAGATAAATAATAAGAGGTATATAAAACAAAAATTAGAATAGAAGTAAAAGTAGTGACTACACGAGCAATTAAAGACAAAAATTATGAGGTAAAAATGACAGTGATGTGATTAATAGACACAGTATAAGTAAACAGTGTTTACTGCACTTTGTGTTTGTCTGTATTAATAAAGAATTAAACGTTAACATAAAGCTATACAGACTGACAGGTAACTCATTGATTGGGCAGTTTTTGAGATTGTCATCCTACATCAATTCCAAAAATTCCAGTGACTGACAGAAGTTTAAGCAGCTCCTTAATGTTTCTGATGTGCATATTTATGCTCGCTCATTATTAGTATTATTAGACTGCAAACCGGCAGCATGTTATGAATAATGACTAACAGGTAGAGACAGGGCGACAGGAAATGATTCAAGGCTCATTACTGTGGGAACACTGTCACACACTTTTTAATGGACTTAATGAACTGACAAAGAACAGAGTTGGACACAGACACAGAAGTTTTAACAGCTTTTTAATCAGGGAGAATACCCACGCTAACATGCACATGTGTTACCACGGTCACTGGATGAATTGCATAAATAGGTCATATACTTTACTTAATACAAATCAATTTTAAGTTAGCTTCCTGAACACATTTCACACTCAGCAGATGGATTTTTTTTAGTAGTTTAGCTTTAAAATCATGCTCAAATCTCATATCTGCTTTTGTGAAATCCTGTGGTTGGTTTGTTTGCTGTCATACCACAAATTGTCATTACTAAATCATCATTACTTTTCAGCATCATGCAGGCAGTTTTGGACTACGCCATTCCCTACCTGCACGTCAGAGAAGCTTTCGGACAGAAGATCGGACACTTTCAGGTTCAGTCTCTACTTTTTAAAAAATAAATAAATAAATAAATCGCAGTAAATATTCTCTGTAAAATGTGATATCTCTGGTGTGAAGCCGGCAGCTATAGAATTTAAAACTGTGATGTGACTTGAGTGAAATTAACATAATGCTCTATGTTAATCTGTGTGCAGCTGATGCAAGGCAAGATGGCTGACATGTACACCAGGCTGAGCTCCTGTAGGCAGTATGTGTACAACGTCGCCCGGGCCTGTGACAAAGGACACTTCAGTGGAATGGTGAGAGGGTGTTTTTGTGTAGTGCTGCAGCACCCTGTTAAGAGGACGTGTATTTTTTTGCAACAAAAGTTGCACTTAAATCGGGGACATTTAAAATATGTTTGGAGTGGACATCAATGCATCTCTGGAAATGTTTCTTTTTTTAAACCTTCTGATGAGGATTTTTCCTGTACTGCATTGTTGATTTAGAATCTGTAATTTATTTAAATGGATCTCCTTGAATGGTGTTAAATTCAGTGCATATAGACCGGACATCTTGAAATGGTGTGTTTAACAGGTTTAATGCCAACACAGTACACTACATATCATTTGCGATATGTGAAGCCATAAACTCAGGTGTGTTAGTATGGACGGAGATAATTTGTGAGACAGTGCCATAACACTTGTGTGTGCGGAGATTGTTTTTATTTTACAACCCTGTTTTTACAATGAAAACATATTAGCGTGAGAGTAGCATAAGTCAGCATCTTATTTAAGTTTTTCTTAAACTGTACTGTGAAAGTTGTTTTTCCTTCCACTGCACACAGTGACTGTGTTGACTTGCGTTGTCATTGCAGGACTGTGCTGGAGTGATCCTGTATTGTGCGGAAAACGCAACTCAGGTTGCTCTGGATGGCATTCAGTGTTTGGGTAAGTGACAAGAAACTGAGTGACTCAAATGAAAACCAAAACCTTTAAATAAAAGCTGTATAGCTAGGAATTTATTCATTTCAGTCACAAGAATTTATTTTATGGACAAAAAACATTACTGATGCAACATATAGAGATTAGATTCAGATTAAGATGTATCAGGACTACTGACCTCTTATGTGGTTGATGTGATGACCTCCCTGCTTCGCCGTCATCACTTGATTCTGGATGGAGTCTTGTTGCTGATGTGAAGCTGGTTTGATGTTGACATTGAGGAGCTGGAAGCAGGGCTTGACAGGTGCAGCTCATTTGTTTAATAAATAGCACACTGACTATGAGTGGCTGCAGTGAAGATACAAGAGATGAGGGTTACGCGACTGCTTAGTATGAACATAGAAGGAGTTACCTCTTCAATTATAAACCTGTAGGTTCATATACATTATTATTTTCTATAGAGAAGTGGTAATAAACTATATGTAGTATGAATTGATTGAAGCCAAGAGTTGCAGCTTAGTGAGGATAGTAAAATAATCCTCCTGTGCAATGATGCAGTTGGTGGGTGTAGTTTAGTTAGACAGAAAATTTTGAGCACCACAAGCTGAGTGTCATCTAGCGTCATTATATTGGAGAGAAGCTGATATCTCCAACACTCACACCAAAACAATCTAGACTGATAAATATCACTACAAGTAAGAGGAACAATACATATTTCCAATTTGGGGGTGAACTGTAGTTTTAAGGTGTAGAGGAGAAAGGATGGAGCAGTTTTCCTGATGTAACTCCTTATATGTTTTATTTTAATGAAAATGTTTGACAGACACGAATCGCTTTCTGGACACGTTACATTTTTTCAGCCTCCAATTTGCATGCTTATAAAGAATCTGCCTCTTTGTGTTGATGTGATCTATTACCTGTTGACATTTTCACCTCATGCTGAGCTTTGATTAAACATGGACTCGTTCAGCTTGCATTTTATTTCTGCACTCTAAAACAACATGCTCCATCACCACACACTAACTTTAATTCACGTGCCACTCGTCAACAGGTGGAAACGGCTACATCAACGACTACCCCATGGGCCGATACTTGCGTGACGCTAAGCTGTATGAAATCGGCGCAGGCACAAGTGAAGTTCGCCGGCTCATTATCGGACGAGCCTTCAACGCCATGTACAAATGAACACAAGTGAGGAATGGCAGTCTCTAAAAGACTGTACGAGTGGTTTGCCGTGGATGAACACAGTTACTCACACCACCCAGGGCCTTACTATATGACATGTTGCTGCTGTTTGAGAGATGTTATTGGATCATGACAAGGTCCAGAGTAGTTGTCACAACAGATTTTAATTGATATATTTGTATAACATACATGAAATCAGTCAGAGTTGACAGTGATGTGTTGGAAGGTGGCTGGTAAGAGACAAATAAAATGTTGATTCTGGACCGTATAACCACTGAAATGCCAATAAAAGCAGTAAAATTATAAGTATTTAACCTTGTGAAAATGTTGTATGTTCATTGTGTTATAGTTTATTGAGCCCCCTCGGCAGGTTGAACACTTGGTGTCTTTAACACTCCAAAAGTGCTGCTGCTTCTGTTTCTCCATCAGTAAACCATGTTGGTATTTCAGGGTTATAGGCAGGGTTGTGTAGCATTAGAAAACAGTTTGTCCACTTTGGAAAGCAAACATATTCCACTGTTGTAAACTGTTTGTACAGTCCAACTGTAGAAACCCTCTGAAAGATTTGTCTTCTAATTGTAGATGTACAGTGTGACAATGTATGAAATAATGTAGTTTTGTTTGCCATGAATAAATAAAATCTTTTTTTTATGTCTTGACTTGAGTTGTGTCAGTTCACTAAAGGATCGCATTTAGAAAAACACCGTAAAGGACACATACATGTTTCTGTAGTCCCTCTGCACCCGCTGAACACAGAGCGCCTTGTTTCCCAAAGAAGCCAAAGGGGAGACAGTAGTCAGACAATGATTGAACTATCCCAGTGCTTTTGAATAATACATGTTTCAGGGCGGATTTTCCCTTCACAGGAAATAAGACAACATTATTGTCTCTAACGCAGAGCGGTAACTGGACTGGAATGAGATGATGTTAGTAAGAAATCACATTAAAGATTTATCCTGTAAGAACATATCCTAAAAATCCATGAGACATGGATGTTGGAAATATTAGAGTGAAAAACAACCTTTCATATGTGATGTGAGCACAGAGACTGTCTTGAATCAACTGAGGAAGTGACTAATATTTAAGGAAACAATGTTCAGTGGTGGAGGAAGTATTGAGATCATTTAGGGACCATGCCGCAACAATATGATGATATCATTTAAATGTTTATTGTAACTCAGGAGGTGTTGAGGATGGTGAATGCATTTAAGTGAGGGTGAAGGTGAAAGAGTGATGTCTTCTGTTAGGTTGATCTGGGAGGATGTGCTGGAGATCAGGCAGAGGGAGACTCAGTGTGGGGGTTCTGTCTCAGCCGTTTTACTGCCCGAGATGATTACAGGCCCCCGAGATGGTACCTAGAATGAGACATGGGAGAGGTGTGCACCAGATTGAATAAGAAAAGATGCAGGGAGAAGGGAAGAGAGGATGAGGGAATGCTGGTAGGGATGAGGTAGGGACGATGATGGATGAAGGGAAGGGAAAGGGAGGGTGGGTCGAGAAAGCAGGATGGGTTGAGTAGGGCCAGGGCCAAGTAGGCTTGGCCCTGGTCCCGAACCTAAGTTAACAAATGAACTTCATTAATGGTAACAGTTATGCACAGAGCATCTTAGGCCTTAAAAGAGCATCTAAGGTGAAAACTGTTAAGAGCAGAGAGGAGGACTTTTGAGAAGCTTAGGAGTTTCTTAATAAGAGGAGAAAATGGTGGAAACAGAAAGAGGCTGGAGAAATATTCTCCAAACTCTGGATGACAGTGAGTAAATGAAATGCTACAGATTAGATCATGCAGGAATTATGTTTGTGGTCGAACTCATTAGGGATATGCACATATTTCCCACCCAATGAAATAGCGCCGTAACGGCAGAAACAAAATGATCACAACACTAAGATATTTGGAAAACAGGAAAAATGCAACAATGCAGCAGTGATCACACAGAAATGACAACACTTCCAGTCTCATATTGTGATGCAGTTCACTTCATCTCCACTGGGTGTCCACACCATGTAGACTCACAAAAGAGTGTGTCTGTGACAACCAATCACATCTGTTAAAAGAGTGTGTCACACCCAGCAACCGGTCAACCACACCTCCTCACTAAGGTGAAAGTTTCTGTTCCTTCCTTGCTCAGAGTTGCTCTGAGAACTTTCCTAAATCACTCCAAAGCTAGAACTCCTTATTAATTTTTTTTTTTATCTATGTTAGGAGCTCTCTGAGAGTGTTCTCAGAGTCTTCGGGCCCCTGAAGTCTGAAAAACAAACAAAAAAAAGTTGTTTTTTTCACTCTTGTCATGTATTCTGACAAACTAGTGCAATTTTTTAAGGAGATGTGTAGAATATAATTATTTTTGATGAAATATCAGTATCTTAGGCTTAGATTTGATTATGATTTTTTATTTATTTTTTGACGAGCATTTTAACACACAATGTGTTCAAGGACTGTCACAAATGTGAAAATCAAATAACAGTTTCTGTCGTCACAGTTTCTGTCTATGATAAATGATGTATCATTAGCAATATTTAAAGAAAACACGCCTCTTAAACTTACTTGTAGATTTCTGGGCTTCAGAGGTTATTTAAAATGAATAAAAAATACAACAATTTAAAGGTTATATGTCCCTCCCTGAGCCAAAATAAAAAACATAAGTCCCTCCCCAGTGCTTGAAAAATTATTTGACAAGCCTCCCCTGTTTTGCACCACCCCTCCCCCTCATAAGTGACAAACAGTCCCTTACTTAAGTAGGGATTTGCTTCCTGGCAAAGATGAGTAAAGACACCAAATGCTGAAAGGTTAAAAACAACCAGTTCATCTCTTATTTCCTCACAAATATTATTAATTTTGTCTGTTTATTAACTGGCCCCTGGCCTCCTGTCGTACTGCAAAAGTGACACCCAGACAAACCAAGTTGAGCATTCCTGTCCTACACACTGGATCTTTCATCTGCAGAGCACCTAACTAGTAAGCAAGCAACTTCAGCTATTCGGAGATGTATTGAAATAAAAGTACAGGATTTTCATGTGAAATTTCCTGGAGTAGACGTATAAAGTAGCTTAAAATCGAAATCGTACTCGAAGAGCAGAGTTAGAGTGCAGAATTCAAACCATGTCCGTGTGTGTAAAATAGAAATGTAATAAATTATGCAACGCAGACTGACTTTCCTCATTTTCACCTGGTGTCTCTTTGAAACTGATCTCAAGTGAAATACCAAACGTATCTGTTTACACGTCTGAGGACTGGGGCTGTTCTCACAGACAATCAATCACACTATTTCCACCAGTGTCCTGTCCTGAGATGGCAGGTGGCCCATTCTCCTCTCAGAAGCAATGTGACAAGATGAAGGATGATGGTTTACTTCAGAGACGATGGTGCATCTGTGGCACAGCAGCCAGTTTATAGACGACTAATCATATTTGTTTGTTTTTTAAGTCTCTAATCAAAATGTTATACACATTTACATATGCAGTAAATAATCCATTACTGACTATAGCTTTGCTGATATATTAGTATTATTGATTTTTGAAAAATATGATGGGCCTGGCCAAAGCTGACCCTACCTATGAAGCAATATAAGGAGTTGTTTAAGCCCCCCTGGTCTCTGGAGCCCACCTAGAAGAGATTTTTTTTAAGAACATGAGACAATATCCTCCTGAGACCCTGGGTCCTCATATCAGGACATCACATTTCGGGTTTACTTGACCCTATACTTCATTCTACTTAGCTTAGACCTGTTGTCCTCTTTCGTGGACACTTTTTTTGTGCCATCTAGAGGTGGTAAGAGCACAATACACTAATCCATGTAAAAACAAGATGGCTGCCATGTCTGCCAAGTCAGTCTGCAGCTAGTCTCGCTCACCAGACCTTTCTCAAGAAAAGAAAGGTCTGGCTGGGCCGACTCTCACTTTAAGATTGGAGAAAAAAACGCCCAGGCTGCTTGTATTTCTTTCAACCAATCACAATCATTCTTGGCGGTGCCACAGCAACGGTGCACTTGCAAAAATATTGCCGGGGGGACACCGGTTTTGGTGTAACACCCCCACAAAAATATCGCCTACAGGACGCGAACCATGGCAGAAAAATGGCTACATCCCCGCAAGATCAAACACCGCAAAAGTTAGTAATGGACGTGTTGAAAACTGCAACCGGAGGTGGTAGGGCGGGACTTCAGCGGGTGGCTCGTTCCGCCCAATGAGAGGCTGATCTATGCAGCGAACTTCCGCCCACTCAGACTAGTCTGCAGCTGATCCTGACACAAAAGTGGACAAGGTCCAAAACTTGAACACATTTTATTGTTGAAACTTGTTTATTTGTAATTGACAATGTAGTTTGATATGGCAACAAATGTGACCAATTTTAGCAACAGTAACAAGATAAGACACTGTTAATTAGGGAGTACTCATCTGAGGACACTGTGACTCTGTCGTAGTTGACCATGTTTACTTTTTTTTTTTTTTAAATTATGGGGTCCTACTAATCCCAAATAGCTAGGAGAAATTAAAATGCATACCAAATAAAAGTTCGCATCTCAGGAGCTTAACAAAATAAAATAAAATATTGAACTTCCTTAACAAAAACTGATAACATTTTGTGCCATTTTTACCAACATTTCATTTATTTTATGTGGCCAAGATACAAAAATATATATATACTGTATATAACACGACCTGGCTTAAGTTCAACAAATGAATGAATGCACAATGAATGAATATTACATACACTGAAAAGTATTGTGGGCAGTGTGGTGGTGCAGTGGTTAGCACTGTTGCCTCACAGCAAGAACTCGGGGTGGGGGGATTGAATTCAGGGATGGGGGAGCCCTTCTATGTGGAGTATTCTCCGGGTACTCCAGCTTCCTCCCACAATCCAAAGACATGCAGGCTAAGTTAACTGGTGACTCTAAATTGTCCGTAGGTGTGAATGTGAGTGTGAATGGTTGTCTGTCTCTATGTGTCAGCCCTGTGATAGTCTGGTGACCTGTCCAGGGTGTACCCCGCCTCTCACCCAATGTCAGCTGGGATAGGCTCCAGTGACTCCTAACAGGATAAGCGGTTATGGAAAATGAATGAATGAATGTATTGTATTTCATGTCTCCATCTACTGTTTGGCCATAATGATAAGAGTACACATGCATAATATGATGTTAATTCCACTACAGAAGAGACTTGATGATTATTAAAATTAGATAGGAAAAAAGTGGATATATCAATATCAGTATCAGTTATCAGTCAGATGAGTTTTTACATATCGGCATATCAGATATCTGCGAAAAATCCAATATTGTACATCCCTACAAAAAACATTTGGCTCATCTGATCGTAACAACAAAATTAATTTAAACATAGATAGGCAGTTTGTATAATACTTTGGCAAGTTCCTTTCTCTAAAATGTATTAAGCTCACATTCTGACATTCAAACAAAATATAATACTCATTTTCCCCCAAAGGCGTGTCACTACAGAGATTACACATGCTCTGGTTTCTAGCCAACTCTTTTCAGTCGTAGCCTTTATTCATATTCATATTATTCATATCATATCCTTTATTCGGACATCTTACACATGAAAACAGGTGAGATCTTGCTGTTCCCAGTGAAAACATAACACTAAAATATGCATCAAATTTCATGCATCATACTGTAGTCTCTTTAGAGTGTTACTGGATAGTGCTGCTTTACATGCTTATTTTTCATTATGTGTGCTTAAAATAATATTTACAAGTCACACTGTGAACATGTTCCATCGAGGGGGGCCCACAAACCAAACTCTGTCGAAGGCCCTCAAAAGTCCGGGACAGGCCCTGAGCCTGGCTTATTCTCAGCTTAGGTCTTAACTTTAGAGTGAAGCATGTTAATAAAGCTGTCACTGGCTACTGTCTAAAGGGTTAATAGTTCATGCAATGCTTTGCAGATATATAATAAATGGTTGTAATGCAGTTTGTGAGCCCACATCTTTAAGAAGCGAGCCGTTGTGTAACTTGTGTCTGTCAGCGCTACGTGCTTTGTCTGTTTAGCTGTGTGGCTCTTTATGAAGCAGGAAGGGCTCCTCCCTTCAGGGGAGAGGTGCAAACTGAATGCCTTATTGTCAAGTGAAGTTTTTCCTCTTTGCAATAAGCACCGAGGCAGGAGCTCATGTAAGTGAGTCACTGATAGATGTTTGCTGGATGCTATGTAACCTTCTTTCACTAATGTCCATGGGAGGGGTGCTTGATTAATAAAGAACCAGCTAAAATTAAAAAATCAGACAACTCAGAGGCTCTTTGTTTGTTGGAAATATTAACCATTAATAAATTCATATTCAGATGTTATGTATTGCTGTGCTTTGTGATTTGCTTTGTGTGTTGTTTTATATGTCAGTGCCAAAGACAAATTAACATTGTATGTAAAACTAATGGAAAAAAGGCACATTGAATCTGAATATCTGTACACAGTACTCATTTCTACTGAGGCATCCTTTACAAAGAGTTTATATATTGTAACTACAATAACTTTATTAATGGTTAATAAATAATTTAATGAAGCTTTGCAGATCTCATAAGCTATTGTTAGGAATAATTTTTGGGTTCCTCAATTGTAAAAATCACTTTGAGTTGTCAGAGTGTTTGATCACTTGGATCATCCACCCATTTATTAACAACTTATTTAACATTTCACAATAAATGCAGACTTGATGAGAACCACATATGCATATAATAATGGATCACCAACAATTGCTACCAAAGAGAAACGTTAAACACACGACAAAAGGATTTTCCACAACCTGGCAACCCGATAGCTCATAACTGATCTATAAAGCATGATTTAAGCATTTATTAACATCATTAAAACAATTTGTTTTAACTTAAAAACTCTTTTAAAAATATGGTTAATTTAAAGTATGCATCCTATCAGTACAGCCAGTTGAAGGGTTCTTGGAACTCGCAGCAGTTCTTGTGTCTCGGTCTGCAGAGTAAATGTTAATGTATGCAAACATGTGTTATATCACCACCTGTCTGAGATTAGTGTGGGTTTCAATCATGTAATATGTCAGTCAGATGACTATTTATATGTTGCACTGATCTCCAGTATGAAATGCATGTTTGCCATTTGGTGTTTATATGCCGGTTTAGTTTGGTGAATTAAACTGTGGAGAAATCAGGACAAGAAACCAAAATTTGAGGACCAGTTTCTGCACATACATTGTCTTCAGCATTGTACAAAGCAGGCTGATAAAGTCAGAATCACAGGTTCCACTCACCCCAATGTCAACTTGTGTTATAAACACATTCTGAAAGACTGCGACATTGCACTCAGAGATTTTTTTAGTTAACTGAAAGAGAGTATCAATAGGAAACCGCACTTTAAACGTTCAGTGTGCGCAGTGGTGTAGTGCAATTGATGAGGTGGGTGAAGCACAAGGTAGATGGGTAGGTTACTGATGAGGAAGTGGGTAGTGTGTAGGTCTTGCATGTGGGATTTAGTGACATTTAGATGTCACTAAATCCCACCTTTAATATGTACCTATCTTTCTTTTTATTTATCTGTGCCTTTGTGTTCAGCTCAGTGTAAATTTGCTCAATAAAAGAATGTTGGAAATAATTGTATTTCTTTTTTTTTAAATTCAACAAGTTTTGTTGTATTTCATTAGTAAACTGAAATCAGCAGAAAGGCAGAGCTGAATACACTTTAAAGCAGTGGTTCCCAACTGGTGGCTCGTGGGCCAAAAGTAGGTCATGGGTCCATTCTGAATGGACCGCAAGTGACTCGCAAACGTGTCAAGTTTATTTAAAAAAAAAAAACACTGCATTTTGAAGTACAGTGAATTCAGTTCATTGGATCAGTTCGGAGCCACTGCTTTAAAGGGATAGTTCAGGATTTTTTTTTAAGTGCGGTTGTAAGGGGTACTTATCCATAGCTAGTGGTAGTGGTAGTAGTCTATATAGTAAATGTCAGTTGTTATGCCCTCAGTTTTGGGAAGCAGGCTGGAGTCCAGTACAGAGGCTAAGCAATCTAATACTGTGGATGGGGGTCAGCAACAAAATGATTTTTAACCACCTAAAAAAAAGTCCCACCTAAAAAAATCAATATCAGTTTTAATGTACGCTATAATGAGACATTGCAGCGACAGCCTATTCCAACGGGGCAGCTGTTAACAGCTTCAGTTCCCCCTCTGTACTCTCGTCAAAGCCACCAGACTCCATTGAGAAAAACAGTAATTTTACCTTGTTGAACATGAGAGCTGCTGGTCTACTGCTGCTTCCATCAGTTAGCTAGTTTATGTTATTGTGTGACTTTGGTGAATATGAACTAACTATTTTAAACACCAAAGTCACACAAAAACACAATTAAAATGAAGGTTTAAAGCAGCAGTAGACCAACAGCTCCTGTGTTCTGCAATGTTAAATTACTGTTTCTCTCAATGGAGTCTGGTTTTGAAGAGCGCAATGAAACGTTTCAACCAGAAACCTTGCACACTGATTCTGATGCATTTTATTGTTTTGTTCATTGTAAAAAAAAAATGCAATACTTGACAAAATGGAAAGACATTTCCTCCTTTGCCTCTCTACTGGAGTTACTGAAGCTGCATGAAGGGGCGGAGCTGTCCACCTTCTCTGTCTCCACATTCTGTGTACGGTCTACATCCTCCTCCTCCTCCTCATCACCATCTACCTGAATATTTCTATATGACCTGTTGAGGGCGAGCTATCTGAGTTAGGGAATGATTCTGTGCACCCTGTTCCTCTGTCTTGTCGCGGCTGTGTCCTGTCAAACAACTCCCTAAAGGCTTCTGCGACGTGAAAAATGTAGAAAGTCGAACCTGTTCCGAAAATTGTAATGACGGATGAAAGTTTCGGACAAGGTGAAGTCGTCAATTTTGGACGAAAAAAAAAAAGCCATTAAAATACTCTCAACATATTCATTCATTTTTCATAATTACTTATCCTGTTGGGAAGGGGGGCTGGAGCCTATGCCAGCAGTCACTGGGCGAGAGGCGGGGTACACCCTGGACAGGTCGCCAGACTTTTGCAAGGCTGACACATAGAGACAGACAACCATTCACACACACATTCACACCTACAGACAATTTAGAGTCATCAATTTGTCACCAAGTTTGCATGTCTTTGGACTGTGGGAGGAAGCTGGAGTACCTGGAGAAAACCCACGTTGACACAGGGAGAACATGCAAACTCTGCACAGAAGGGCTCCCCCACCCTGGGTTCGAACCCCCAACCATGGGCTTGAACCACTAACCACTGCACTACTGTGCCATTTTGTTGCTGACCCCCTCCACAGCAGTCGATTGCTTTGCTTCCATGTTGGACTCCTGCTTCTCCAAACTGGGGGTGCTCTGATCGCCATCTACTGTATGTAATATACTGTCTTAAGTACTATTCGGACGGGATTGGTTTTACATAGGGATGTGGACTAATGTCAGTTTACCACAGGGTGTCTGTAATATAAATGTCCGATTCGCACGGGACAAGAAATCTCCCTAATTCTACCAAAGATGGGAGTGGTAACTTTGTTTGCGCCCTGGTGTCACCTCCCTGTCAGCATGTGCGTGCTGCGTTGCTTCCTGTATGTGTTACGTTTATTAGCCCAATATGAAATATTGCCCATAATCAGGATTGTGTGTACACAACAATTAGCAATATGGATTTATATTAGGCCTACCAAACACAACCAAAAGTCTTGTGGCTCTGAAAAGTGCTTTCTTCTCGACCTTTTTGTTTGATCTCCCACGTAGGGCTGTGCGATCATTGGAAGAATGTCCACTATCACGACTGTTGACAACACCGAATGCTTCTTTAAGCGCCTCCATCATTGAAAAAACGTAGAAAACTAGTTGTAAACATGGAAAAATTGTTGTAAACAGGACGTGACGAAATATTAAATACAGAGGATTGCGTTTGCATGGGATTATTTTCTCTGGACCGTTTTACAGAAGGTAAAAGTCACCGTAATTTTTACGTAATGATTACAGACATGACGCATTCAGACAGGACTAAAATCAGTAATAATTACTTTACCCCACGTCTCCACGTTAAACTAATGCTGTCCAAGTAGGGCTATAGTGTAAGTACTCCAAACAACCCCACTTCAAAAAAACTAAACTGTCCCTTTAATATTTGTTTATTTGTCGCAAGTAATATAGTTTTACAATATTCAGCAACCTTACTGCATGTTACATTTTCCTCATGGTGCAGTTGCATTTCATAAAACAACACAGCATGAAATTAAAACCTAAAGTCACATAAAGAGACAACAAAGTCTTCCCAGCAGTGCTCCAGGAGGCACCGTGCAGTCACATGTCAGAGCAGGTTTTGGTCATGAGCCAGATCTGACACACCACAGATCCTTCATTGAGAGCCCAGCTCCCTCAGCCACCGCTGCCAGGGTTAATACAAGTGTCAAAAGAACAGGGCTTAAAGACATTAACTAGGTGAAAGCCATCTGTCAGCCACAGCGGGGCTGCTGCCGGGGGGACGGTGACATGTGGACGTCCGTGGCCCTTTAAGAAACTCCATGTTTTCGCTACATGATGCGTCAACATAAAAAAAGCGGATGATGCTGTTATGTAAAAACACGCTGAAGTGAGCCGTAGTTTGCAGGGAGCTCGGTGAAAGCTTCGCACGCCACACTTCGTCTTCTAAAGCAGGATTGCGGTTTCAAGTGTGGGGGTTTTTACGCGTAGCGCACGGAGCGGTGCAGTTTGGAGAGGAGGCGGAGAAGAAAAAGGCTTCAGCCCGATCAACTCAACATGAGTCGCCCTCCACTCTGTTTTCCTCCTTCACTTGCGGGAAGCGTACACCTGACGCATCACCCTCTCGCCCTGTGGAAGTGATAGATCGTCCCTCTTTTTCAATCGGGTTTATTTTGCAGCCTGCTAGGCGACAGGACACCATAGCCCTCAGCTCGGATCGCTTCTGGGGCTAAACTGAAAGTGTCAGGACGGGATCGAGCTGCGAGCTGAAGTAATGTGTCAGCTATAGACACACAAACAGATCCTTCCTCTGTGTGGCGGTGATCTGTGAACCTGAGAGGAAACTTTCGGGGATCTCTGGGACTTCTTCCTCCACTTGAGTCGTCTTTTATCGCCCAAACGGTGAGTACACACTCCTGCAGCTCGTGATCGCAGAAAATGTCACTCGTGCAGCTCCTGTTGGAGTCATGTCTGAGGCTCGACCCTGCTGCCGAGGCTGCTGGTGGGGTCACTGGCACATTTAATTTAGCCTACTTAAATGTGGGTGAAATGTGTTTTAAACTTGCCAGTAACACAAGGAAATGTGATGGAGACATTTAAAGGTCCTGGTGGTGTTTAAATAGTTGTTTCTTTTGGAGCCAGAGTCGTCATCAATACCAAAAATTCACTGCTGCCAGTTATTCAAATGTGGATATTTGCTAATTTTCTATTATAATCAAGTGAATAGCTTTGGCTTTTGGACTGTGAGTACATTTACTTAAGTAGTTTACTTAAGTACAAGTTTGACATACTTGTACTTTAGTTTATCCATTTTATACCTCTTAATACTTCTACTTCTCTGAGGGAAATATTGTCCACTAACTCCATTTAACATACAGCACATTTAACCACTTAAAAGTGCTTTAAATAAATTGAATACGCTCCTCGTCAACTAGATACAACATTAAAATGCTCCTTACATATAAATACTTAAGTCATACTTTAGTCATAATCTAAAATGTAGGCTATGACAATGTAAGGGACAGTGTTGGAAGATATGCTTGCATAATGGGCACTTTTGACACTTAAAGTAGCTTAGATTTTTCAGATAATACTTAAGCTGGGAAAAAGGGGATATGTCCCCATCAATATTTAGAAAATGTACATTTGCCTCTCTGAATAAGAACGTAGCAGAAGACTTGTAATGACATTTACACCATGAAATGATGCAAAAAAAAATCACCAGAATTCAGGAAATTAAGTGTAAAATGCTCAAAATGTTCTGGCGATGGACCCCAACAACTCCATTTCATGGGACCCCTCCAATACTGAAACTGAACCCACTCTAAAAAATGATTCATGGGGTGATTAGATAACTCTTAAAATAAAGAAGCTTTTCAGAATTAAAAATTACGTTTGTGTCATTTAAGTGTTTAAATAATCTGAAAACTTCTTTTAAGAAGTTGGTCAAAGTTAAAAATATCCAGAAATGTGCACTCCCCCTTTTCTCATCCGCAAGGAAACAAACACACAGAGAGCTTGAAAATGGATGCCGAGAGATTTAACTCCATTTCATCAAACGTGTGCTCAGTCCACGAGATTGTGGAAATGAAGGACTTACAGCGACTTTGTTTGAAACTTTTAATGCTGTCGGACTATGTTTACGAGCACAAGAGTTCAGCGAGCCACCGAAGGACCGCCCTGCGGATTTACTATTGGTTCTGCAATGTAGGGAGTTTTTTTAAACTCTAAAATTGTATCCGCCCATCTAAACACAAAATCAGGGAGAAAGTCATCAGTCTTTAGTTAAGCAAAGCGTCTAAAGACTGACTTGTGAGTCTAATGCAGAACAACCATCGCTCCACCTGGCTTGGTCTTGGCAAGGTGCTGGACATGTCAGCATGTCCGCACACTTACCTCTATGCAGTGTTTCACTTTATTGTTGAGCTTTCAGTCCACTAGACCTTCATCAGAAAATAGATGAGGCAACCAAGATGTAGGATTGAGTAAGATGGAATTAAAATAAATAGATTTAAATAGTTTGACCACTAAATATCAACGTAACTTCTGGATAAATATTAAGTTGGTTCAACTCAATTAAGTTTTTCAAGGTCAAAGCAAATCATATTGGTTGTACTGAACTAACTGAGTTTGTTAGATTATAAAATGATTTATTTAATAATGTCAGAGTTGAGACTACTTAAAAGACGCATGCATATTGTTACCTGTGTTAAAAGTTTAACCGGTTGACTCTGTTTTAGAGTGTATAAACACCCTTGACTGGAGCAAACTGGTTGACTTGCTAGCACAGAAGGTTTGGACACTACTGTGTCTTCATCATAGTCAGAATGGACAAAGACAGAAGGTAGAAATGGTATTTAGCTGGCCGCAAACTGGTGTACAGTTATCCACACCCTATACACTTAAATCATACCAGGAGCAAAACAACAGTCACAAAGATAGAAAACTAAATTTACTGCATCCATCAGGTGTAATTACTTTTTAAAGTAATTTCAGCATGTGGACAACCTGTGTGGGGTTTTAAACACTTTATTTGTAGAGATTTTTCTGTTTATCAGACAGGACATTAACATAAGCTAAAATCTCAAAGTGCATACATGTACAGAAAAAAGAGAGAAATGGAAAGAAAAGGAGGAGAAACAGAAAAAAGTGCATCGTAGTGTATTTACTTACTTAAAGGACAGACCACCTGTAGAAGTAAAAGTTCATTGTTCCAGGTCAGTTAGACTGTTCACATATTTTATTAATGGCTCCCAGGTTTTGTAAAATGTCTTAATGGAGCCCTAGAGGGTGTATCTGATTTTTTCAAGCTTTATGTTCTGCATCACATCTATAATCCAGTGGCTGTGTGATGTGGAGGTGTTACATCCTTCCATTTAAACAGAACTGAGCGTTAAGCTAAAAGAGAGGAAAAGACAATGACCTTCAGAAAGTGAGCAAGGATATAGGAGTCATCTGGAACTGAGAATACACCAAAAAGTACCAGTTGTAGGAGATGCATTATATTACAGCTGTAATCTGTCAGAAAAAGGCAAGTTTTAAACAACAAACACACCTGTCACACACAGGGTCTTTAATTTGAGACCATTCTTGCAAGTTTAGCTTTAGAGAGGTGTTGCCGATGTGGCACTTCAAACTGTATGAAGGCATGTCTGGAGCATGTAGAAGATGAATTAACCCTACAAAGAGCCGAGTCCTGTTCCTCATGTGACAGTGGGCACCCCTCTATCACTTTCCCGTAGTTGTCAAATATGAGATTTAGAAGGATTGTATCTATTCATGATCAGAGTATAAATCATTGAGACTTTTATTTAGCATATTGACCTTTAGCAAAGAATCCAGGCGAGATGATGGGGGAGTAGTTGGAAAGTTAGCAAATGTTTTGTGTGCAAAGTCCTTGATTTGTAAATAATGGAAAAAAATGAGTATTAGTCAGCCTGAATTATTTGGACAGTTGTTCAGAGCTGGCAGTCCCCAATATACAAGTCCCCGGTGTTACATATACTTTTATCATACCAGACAGGAAAGATGATTCTTGAGACTGTAGGTGATTTATGAAGGATTTCATGGTGTATTTTATTCCAGTGTGTGAATGTGTGACGTGTTTGGTGTCTGATGAGTTAAAAGCCTTTGTGTTGATTAGACAATGGGGAGACAGTGAGGATACTCAATAGAGGAAGTAGTCTGTAGTAGCTGTTGTTTTTCCTAATGGGGATTCCCTATCTGTGTGTAGGGCCCTCTGATAGGCCAGAAAGATGGATGCTGTGGGGCTGCCCCTTGGCTGGAAACACTCCATTTTGGGTGATTAATCTCAGCTTTTAGGAGTGTGTTTCTGATTTTTTGAATGCGTCATATAAGCTACCGGATGTCTAAATTTCCCTCAGGATTAATAAAGTATCTGTCTATCTATCTATCTATCTTGGAGGAAAATCGATACAGCATAGTATTGCGATATTTTTGTGTGGCAATATTGTATCACCAAACAGTGCCGAGTAGAGAACAGACTTTATCTTATAAGATAAAACAGATGTTGACAAAGTTTCCCTCTGGGGACAAAATTTATAGATGGCAGAAGGTAATAAATCGCAATATATCCCAGTATATTTTACCGTAATACTCAGAATATCGCAACATATTTAAAAAATCGCAGTGATATTGTATTGTGACTTAAGTATCGTGATAATATCGTATCGAGGATAATTCTGGTGATTCCCACCGATACTGTCTACCTGTCTGTCTATCGACATACCTACATACCTAAGTACCTACCTACCTACCTACTAGGGGTGGGGGAAATAAATCGATACAGCATAGTATCGCAATATTTTTGTGTGGCAATATGTGCCAAGTATCGATTTTTTTTTTTATTACAAACTTTAGTAATTTCAACAAATACAAATTAAACTGTAGGTAGCCTACTACAATAATATAATCATTTGCTTTTTCAGTCCACTAGATGCATTTTGCTGCTACTAAAAAATGGCTGAAGTTTGATGAACAGACTGAAAAAATTATCTCATTAGATAAAACAGATGTTGACAAAGTTTTCCTTTGGGACACAATTTACAGTTAAAATAAAGGTAATAAATTGCAATGTATTTTCTTGTAATACTCAGCATATTGCAACATATTTAGAATAGCAAAAATATTGTATCGTGATAATATCATATCCTCTGGTGATTCCTACCCCTACTATCTATATATCTATCTCTCTATCTTGGGGGAAAATCAATACAGCGTCGTATTGTGATATTCTTGTGTGGAAATATTGTATTGTCAAACAGTGCCAAGTATAGAACAGACTTAATCTTATAAATTAAAACAGATGTTGACAAAGTTTTCCTCTGGAGACAAAATTTATAGATGAAAAAAGGTAATAAATCCTAATGTATCGCAATATATTTTCCCACAGTATTCAGCATATCGCAACATATTTAAAATTGCAATAATGTATCGTGACTTAACCCTATGGGCCCTAGGCATTTTTGGGGTATTTTTTACTGCCTTTACTTTTAAGCTCATATCACAGTCATTATAAAGGCTACATACACATGCTATATCTTTTTTCAGGACAATCTGGGCTAACCAGATTTGCCATCATTTCATGTCCTTCTATGTGCCTGTATTTTATATTAATTTTTATATCAATGAAAAAAACAAATCCGTGTGACTAAATTCTTACATTTTTACATGTATCTCACCATAGCAAGTTGGAAGTTGACATATTCTGGCATATATGAAGAGGGGAGACTCTCTGGAATCTGGCAATATAAGAACCATGATGCTGGGACATTCTGTCACTTCACAGCTGTCCAAAACATGTGGTTTGTGCCAGGCGGATATAATTGCCAGCATTTTTTCATTATTGCAAGAAATTACATTGACTCATTCACAAGTCAAAA